ATTGTTGACTTTTTTGTAAACAACAACAACAACAACAACAACAACAACAACAACAACAACAACAACAACAACAACAATAATAATAATAATAATAATAATAATAATAAGTTATTCACTTATATATCCTTGTGTGAGATGTAATGTGGAACAATTGATTCATGGGGTTTTAAAAAAAAATTAATTATAATGTAATACTATTAGGATTGATCAACCGCGGTCCGAATGTTGTTATTAATTGCTCATCATTAGGAGTTCGATATCAACTTTTTACTTTCCTTTTTAATTATTAGTTTATCCATAAGTTTTATCAACAAACAAAAAATGATTTAAATATTTGTGATTTATGATAAGTTTAGTTACTTTTTAAAAATTTGAAAAGTCTAATGTCAAATTTTAAAACTTCAGTATAATGTTGACCATATATGTTTATGATATATTTAATTTCAACTAGCTAGAGTACCCACCTCAACATTGATTAGCTCAATCTTGGAGATAATAATTATTATTTGGTGATAGTATAAATTGACCGGGTAGGTAGAGGTTTAAAATTACGGTATAAGTTAAGGAATTATGAGATGAGAATATATTAATAATTATTAATTGAAAATATCGTAATTTGACTAGGTAGAAGTTTAGAATTACACTATCAGGTAATGGATTAGGAGATGAAAATATATTAATGTGCCAAACACAAGATGATCAATCGGTTCGTATGGTCCAAATCAATCCAACATGATACAATATAGGAGTCTAGTGTAGGTAGTGATAATGAATGAACATGATTATCGACTCGGTGAAAGGTGTGTTATTTATACGTGAGACCCTGACTAGTAGTATGTGTCTTAGTATTAAATTGATCTAATATAATACGTTTTTATTGACAGATAGAGACAATCAATTAATCTGCTTTACAAAACTTACTAAGTTGCGCGTCAATAATCATACCCTAGCCCAATTGATTGGTCCTATTGCTATGTTGATCGACTGGGTTACTACTTACTATTAATACTCTAGGATCCAAATCATGCTCCCTTATGAATTTTAAAAACATATTTCACCAATAAAAGTAAATAAATAAATAATGAATAGGCTAAAATTGGGCCTTTTTTTTTTTTTTTTTAATTGAGTAGGCTAAAATTGTAGGCACCAAAATTTTCAATCTAGTATGGAACTACCAAATTAAGAAAAACGTGATCCAGCCTAACATGTGACAATCATTATTTTTTTTAACACAATTCTATCCAGGTCATAAAGTTGCTGGTTTGATTTTCTTTAATTTACAAGAAAGTCGATCTGTAGATGCTACTTAAATGTATATTCAGGATAAAGCCTACCTTGTAACACTATCATAACGATAAAGAAAAACTAGTTTATATTGTTCATAACTAACCAGTTCAAATTAAACCAGGCTTGCACATAGAATCAGATCAAATTTGAAATTTTAAAATTATGTATACCAAGTAAATTATTCACCAATTTGACTAGAGTTGTCTGAGATGGTGCGATCCTCTATGTATTGGGCTTGAGGTCTATAAATAGAGGCACATGGCCGGATTTTAGGCTGTGCAAGCTGGGCTACCGCACAGGGCCCCCAATTTTAGAGGGGCCCCAAATTTTATAGGTCCAATATTTAATTTTTATCTAGCTAGTTTAGAAATAAAAATTAAGAGTTTTCAATTAAACTTAAAAAGTTCTATGAAGAGATGGTAAAAATGTGTATTTATTGTATTTTAACTTGGAGGTCAAAGGTTCGAAACTTGCATGTATTGATTTTAAAAATTGTGATTTTGGTAGGGCCACATTTATTTACCAGAACAGGGCCACCAAAATTTAAAATACGGCCCTGTAGAGGCATGCATGGAAGTAGCTAGCCAACCTGTATTGGATCGAACAAGCTAATTAATTAAGAAAGCTACTATACAATTTGCACAACTTAATTAAAATGGTGAAAGGTGTTGCTGCTGCATCTTGGTTTCTGCAACCTCCGAGCTATGGAAGGCTGATCACCGTTCTCAGCATCGACGGAGGCGGCATTAGGGGAATCATTCCAGCTACCATCCTTGAATACCTTGAATCACAGCTGCAGGAGAGGGATGGAGGGGACGCACGCCTGGCGGATTACTTCGACGTCATAGCCGGAACCAGCACCGGAGGTCTGGTCACGGCCATGCTAGCAGCGCCGGAGCAGGGCACCAAGCGGCGGCGGCCATTGTTTGCGGCCAAAGATATCACGCCTTTCTATCTTGAGCATGGCCCCAAGATTTTCCCTCAAAACGGCGGACTGTTTGGACCAATCAGAAAGACGATCAGATCTCTAGTAGGCCCCAAGTATGATGGGGTGTACCTTCACAAGATCATAGAAGAGACGCTGGGACAGACTAGACTGCATGAAACCTTAACCAACATCGTCGTCCCAACTTTTGATGTCACCCGATTGCAGCCCACCATTTTCTCTACTTTTGAGGTTATGATTCTATGGAGCATTCATTATTTATATATATATTGTTACCATCCATTAAGTTTAGTTTAAGGTTGAATGAAATTAATTAAACAGGCGAAAACAAACCCTTTGTCGGATGCTAAACTTTCCGACATATGCATCGCTACATCCGCAGCGCCAACTTACCTTCCGCCATACTACTTCAAGAACCAAGATCAAGACGGGAACCTCCGAGAATTCAACCTAATCGACGGCGGAGTTGCGGCCAACAATCCGGTAAACTTTATTTATTTGTGTTAGTTGTAACATTAATCTGATGATCTGATCTGATCTTCTTTTTTTTTTTTTTTGTGTTGTACCATAATAGACTCTAGTTGCTACTAGCGAAGTGAGTAAGCAAATGATCCACGGGCACCCGGATTTCTTTCCGATCAAGCCAGCAGATTACGGCCGGTTTCTGGTGATTTCAGTCGGAACTGGGTCCCATAAAGTGGATCAGAAGTACAGCGCTAAAATGGCGGCGAAATGGGGTGTTTTGGGTTGGCTTCTCAACGGGGGTTCCACCCCCATTATTGACGTCTTCAATCAAGCCAGTGGCGATATGGTTGACTTGCATATCTCCGTCCTCTTCCAAGCACTTCATTCTCAAAATAATTACCTTCGAATTCAAGTATATATATGAAGCAAATTCTTTCTATAAGTTTCATGGATTTCTTTATTTTTTGACATTCAAAAGAAGAGATTAATTTGGGGAATTATAATAATATTGTAATGGCATATATGCAGGATGACACGTTAACTGGGACAGTTTCTTCAGTAGACGTAGCAACAAAGGAGAACATGAAGAAATTAGCAGAAACTGGGAAAAATTTACTGAAGAAACCACTGTCAAGGGTCAATTTGCAGACCGGTCTCTTTGAGCCATGTGAGGGTGGCGCCACCAACGAAGATGCTCTGAAAAGGTATAAACGATCAATGAAACTAATATTTCATATGTGGCGTGATTGTTAGCTTAATAATCACAAAATTACAAATTCAATTTTTAGTATAATATAATTTTCTTGTGATCTTTTATTGTTTAAGATTATAATGTGAGTTTATTTAATGCACACTCTCAATAATGATTATGAGTTTCTTTTTTTTCAAAAAAAAAAAACACTTTTGTATTGATTATAAATATGCATGTCTTATTATGCAGGTTTGCAGAAATGCTTTCAGAGGAGAAGAAATTTCGTGAGTCGAAATCAGCAGTGACAAAGTAGACGAGGCATTGGCAGTTGAAGCCATTCATCAAATCATCTTATCGACTGATCATATATATCCCTGTTCAATATTAAATTACTGAGTATTAGTTTTTATCTTAAACTTGTGTATGTATTTATGGTTGATTATTTTATGATAAAATGTAATTGATGCGATAGCTTGACATTTTAATTAAAATTAATTGTACTTAAATTATTTCACTATTCATGGTATATTTCGGAGTAAAAAGTTGCATATACACTCAGCATGCAAATGTAAGCAGTATTACGGGACGTCTCATTTTATGTGTTGAGTTCGATTAATAAGACTTTATTGAAGTTATTTACAATTTAATTTTGTATAATATTAAGTTTAAAATTAATATGTTAAATTTATATTTTTAGAAATTACATTAAAAGGACTATTAAATACAAAAATAAAATAAAAAAATCAAATTTGAAAATTATAAGAAAATGTTAATAGAAATAAACAAATAATAAATAGTTGGTTTGATCAATGAATATAGTAAATAAGACAAATAAAATGTGACAGATCATAATATCTTTTAAGCGTACGTTCATATAAAATGAACCAAATAGTCATCCCACATATCATTAATATACTTTTTCTCTACAAGTAATAGCTCCATATTTTTCGAGTTCTTTTAAATCTTCATGCTTTTGTTTTTGACGGGGCAACATGATCTTGACCTATCATTTGTTCAATTTGGTCGATCTGATACTTCGTTAATTTTTAATTTTTATCTTGATGTTCCCACTGATACCTAATCGATAACGAACCTGAATGGCTTTTTTAGGTCCAATTTCATAAATTCTTTTTGAGGCAATTCTGACTTGTTCATCGGAATTGATCTAGCTCCTGAAATATAGAACATTCTTGATCCTTCCTTTTTTTTTTTTTCTCGGCTAGAATCATAAATGAGTTGTCTCCTATGATCTTTTCTATAGGGGCGGCGAAAGATTAGCATTATGATCGAAACTCTGTACTCTAAAATCAACACATCTTTTAAAGTTGTGCTAAAACTTTTTTAAATTTTTAGTATAGTTCTCTTTTGTTATCCGGTGAGATCAATAGACAACTCTTATACAGAGTTGAATTTAAAATCTTATAGTTACTATGTTAATTATCTGACCATTAAATGTAGTTACCTATCAAATATGTGAAACTCTGCACCACATTGAATGTTTTAAAGCACACCATGATGTTGTTTATAAACGTGGCAACGTGTTAAACTCTACACCATATTGAATGTTACGTTTTAAGGCACACCATGATGTTGTTTATAAACGTGGGAACGTGATAACACGTAGAGGGACTTTAGTTAACTTAATTAATGGATACAGAAATCATTATTACACAAATTCAAGACAGAATTACAGAAAGCAACATTGACATTATTATCACAGAAAACTAGGAACCAGGCTAGCAATTTTGGTTGATAAAACCATTCAAACGTTTGACTAACAGCACTGCCTTATCACTGTAAGGATCAAAGATGTGGAACACATGATCTTCCTCTTCTGTCTCAATTATTTCTGCTTTTCCTCCCCACTTACTCTTCACCAACGACTCATAGTAAAGCTTCCCTCTGTCCCTCAGAATATCCTTTCCGGCAACACAAACAATGATTCTCTCGCATGCCAAATCTGCAAGAGCCGAGACGCCATTGACGAAGGGGTTGATTAGAGAAGAATCTTGGCCGCCTTGGTTTGATGGGCACACAAATTCCCACCACTTATCTACCATTGCCTTTCTCACTTTGTCTTCAACCTCGATTCCGATGGGGTTTTCTCCCCAGAAGTAAGGGTGAATCATGATTATGCCCTCAAGTTTAAGCCCCAGAACTGGGTCTGATTTTCTTGCTTTGATCGCCATGTGGTGTGATATGTTGGCGCCGGCGCTGTCTCCGGCTAAGAATACTCTGCTGAAATCGACGGAGTTAATAAGCCAATCCTCCGTCCCCTTCCCGGCGATCCACTGGAGGGCGGCCCAAGAATCATCGTACGCGGCCGGAAGCGGATGTTCCGGGGCTTTCCGGTAGTTGACTGATACGAGGACGACGTTGACTTTGGCCACCAAGACGTTGAGAAAGCCGTGGTAGTTCGGGTCACCGACGGACGACAGGAAGAATGCTCCGCCGTGAAAGTAGACTACCAAAGGAAGGTTCTTTCCGGCGTTGGCCGGACGGTAAATCCTGGCGAATACGCCGGTATCGGGATCAATCACGACGTCCTTTGACGTCACGCTGGTCGCCGGATCAAAAGCTGCCGGTGCGAACTCCGTGGCGGCCAGCCTTTCTATGGTTCCGTCGGCGTAGACTCTTAGGTATGGTGGAACATCATGGGATATTTCACGACCCTCTGTCCCCATTTCTTAGCGAAAACCAGAGAGATAACAAACCGGAAAACTGATTCGGAAAAGATGAACACAAAGCAGACTATATAACACTATTTTTGAAATGTTTAATAATTTCTCTGATAAAATTAAAATATGAACTCTTTTGTCTTTGCCTAATTGCTATTATGTGAAAAAGTCATCAAGGGTCTCAACATTGTCGGCGCAATTTACTGAAGTTCAACGTCATATAGCACTATACCATGAAAGCCTCTAAACAACAAACGGATGCTAACAGCTCAACTCCATCCTATGTTATTTATTTCTCAACTAGCAACCTTTGATTTACAAGAAAGTCTATGCAGCTACCCAAAGGTACATTCTGCTAGTTAAAGTTCACCTTGTGACCTTAATCGGCAAATAACTCCAGATCAGAAAAGTAAATCAGCCAGGATAATCTAACAACCTTGTTCAAATGTAAACATCTTAAACATGTTTTATTTGGTGGTTTAAAGTGTCTTATGTAAATATGTTATGCCAATTATGAGAAGTTATTAGGATGTTTAATAAATAACGATCAAATTCATCAAATTTTGATGGGTTTGATCATAGGCATGAATTGGCATGTTACAAGTTTGGATGGTTGTTTAACCATATATATGTAATATGTCTAGCCCATCACTATGGTTGTTTAACCATATATATGTAATATGTCTGCTAGTCCATCACTATTGCTATGAGAACCGTACCATCTAAGGAGTTTTTCATGGTTTTTGGCTGATAATTCTGGTACGTAGATACTCTTACATTGTACAAATGCATATGTAGACGTCCCAAACATACATATATTGCTTGATGATACATGCAATGTCTTTTGCAGAAATGGCACACCAATCAGCTAGCTATAGCTAATAGCAGCCTAGCACAATCCTTGGTTGGTGGTTAGAAATGGGAAGATTGGTTGTTAAGGACAAAGTTAGTTGGCATTTATGGACAACATAGCTTTCAACTTCACAAGTATGTATAGGGTAAGTTAAAATATGTTTCATTAAGCAAACACTAAGAAATTAAAGTAAGAATTATGTCAAATAAAAACAAAATTTCCTGTCTCATCACCACCTCACAAGTCACAATCCACTATATTTTGGAAAACCTTGTCAAATGAAATATATTGGTTTTAAATTAAAGCAGTCGGTGGCTGCCCAACACAGTAGGTGAAAAGTAAAGTATAATGCTAAAGGAATTTGGAAGAAATAAGAAATTGTCATTGCTTAGAGTGTTAAAGATCGTTAATTTTTATATCTTTGATACACTCCAAGTAACACATAGATCATAGTTTTTTTTAGATAATAAATTAAAGTATGTGTTTTATCTCAATTAAAAGGTAAGTTGATTGTTGGATTGCACATATATATTTATATATTGGCCCTGTTTAGTAAAATGGCTGTTAGCTGATTGTGTTAATTAGAGAGTATAAATAGTTGATAACATTAGCTGATTGTAGAAAAGTGTTTGGTAAATTAGCTGTTAGCTGATAGCTGTCTGGTATAATTTCTTTTTCAAAAAGCTAATTGAAAAAGTTACTTGGAGTAGCTTTTTGAATTTTAGCCTTTTGAAGTTACAAAAGCTAATTAACCAAACATTTATATTGATATTCTAAATCAAACAATTAATAGTGGTCAAATAGGCCAAAATTGGCCTATAGGCCAATTTTTTACCAAACAGGGCCATTATATCCTTAACATTTACCAGCTATTTTTTAAAGGTATTTATACTGCTCAAACTACCCGTTAAGATATTTGGACTAGGAGTGCAAACAAGCCAAGCCAAGTTCAAACTTAGGTTGGTTCGAGCTTGAATCTGAAAATTTTATGGTGGCTCGAACTCGAGTTTTAAAATGTAACCTCAAATATGACTCGTTAATTTTTATGTGGCTCGAGCTCAGTTCGACCGGCTTGAATTAAGACCGAGCTCAAATTCGAGCCTGAGCTCGAATTTTTTATTTTAGAATTCATTCTATAATATATTTTTATATTTTATACATTATATATTATACTTTTAATATATATATATACATGCAATGGTTTGCACTTTGCGTTTGCGAGCATCTTTGAAAAGTTACAAACTAAAAATATTTAAACTTGAGCTTAGCTTGAGTTCGTCTTGAATCAAATTTGAACCGAAGGACTTGACTAGTTTGTACCTCTTATTCAGATTAAATGAAATATATAAATCCTTTCAATCATGAACATTAATTATAAGTTTTTAAAACCGAATTGAAGCACTTATTGTGTGTGTTTATTAATAATTCTTAAAGCTTAAACAGTAGCAAGCTAGCTAGGCAGCAAATTAAACTGTAGAGACAAGCAATTCAATGCATCTTAAATGATGATGGTCTACCAGTGGTCTTATTACGCCATAGCCAAGAATCAGACGGCGATTTGGGCAGCGGCGGAAGCAACACCGCTTTCCGGCAAAGCCCGAACGGCCATCCTTCACAGTGAGAAAACTCCAGAATGATGGAGGATCGCCGCCGGTACTCCGGAAACTCAATCCTGCCCAAGCTCGAACACCGCGAAAGACACGTCTTCGCCGAGAAAAACGCCTCGAAGCTGGCGGCGCTGGAGCAGCGAGACAGATGAGTGCCGACGGACATGAACTCCGCCTCCTCCTCCTCCGTCTCTCCCGCCGCCGCCGCCGCCTTTGCAGTTGTGAACAAATCCCCCGCCGTCGGCGAGAACGCCCACCCGAACTTATCCCATGTAATGCTCGTCCTACGTTTGATCTTCGACTCCATGTATTTGCTTATAACCGCCGACACAAATACCTGCAACAAAACATTAACAACAATACATATTAACCGCTCCTTAATTGGATATACATATTAATTAATCATATACGATATGATGAACATTTACTTCGTCTTCATCGTCCTCCTCCTCGTCGCTGGTGACACCGCCGTCTTCCGGCCTTGTACCCGACAGCTTCCCGCGAAAATTACGGCAGTTGGCGAACGCATCCTTGAGAGTAGACGGAAGGAATTTGCATCTCTTGGAAGGATTCGGCGGGTCTTCGTTATGAGAGAAGGTCATGTTCGGAAGAGAGCGGCGGTGGGTGGTAACGTTTTTGAATTTCCGGCGAATATATGAAGCTATAGATACACCATAAGACTATCATGCAATATACTATATAGTGTTTATGGTGTTTAATCTTTGGGGTGAAGACAACGTTAGAGAAATCGAATGAAAACAAGAGGTTGTCTTCCGGATATGTATACCTGGACCTCTCACTACACTGTGATAGCGATACTTACAAGGTTTAATTAGAGCCATTGTTTTCACTTTAGTTTGAAGTTATTAATTGCAAGTTAATTGGACGTTTTACCAGACAATGTCCACTACGTACGACCTGAAATTTTTGCTAAAAATTACATTTTTTTTTTTTTTTTATGGTTAGTGTTACGGAATCAGATTTCCACATGACCACATAGTACATGGTGGATGGGTGTAATTAAGGATAATCATGGCTTCCTTGTGCTGAAAAAGACGGCAGATCAGATTAAACCCAGACACAGAAAAGGCCAGATTCTTAATGGTTTAGTAGAGAGTATTTAAAAAGAGAAATCAATGTTCGAATCTCGAGACGGCAGTGTGGGAATTATGGTCCAAAGTGATCAAATTTTTTGTGCACCCGGTCTGCTGAATCATTGAGTCACCATAATTTACCTTGGGTGAATTATGGTCCAAAGTGATCAAATTTTTTGTGCACCCTGTCTGCTGAACCATTGAGTCACCATAATTTACGTTGGGTTGAGATTCAACTTTTTGGAAGAGGAAAAACTCAGATTCCTCGCAATGATTATAAGCTGTCTTTTTTCCTTTTGTTTCCATCATGGTCTCGCGTGCTGGGCCTATAGGTCTGATCTTAATGGCCATTGCAACATGGGAGCAAAATAAAGTAAAGTTGGGATCTGACAAATTGATTCCTTTCAAGTCAGACCAATATAGAAAGATAGTGGAGGTCAAGATGTTGGTGATGGTGAAGATATTAATTTGGTAAAGTTACAAGTTAAATTTCAAATAAAAACCTATTGGCCTTAGTTTTACTCGATTAATTATAAACAACTTATACTAATTTATTTTTTAGTGATCTTTTACCAGTTAAAATTACAAGGTAAAATTACTCAGTACATACTTTCAGGTAGTGACTATGAATTTGCCTAGTTACTCAAAAAACATAGAAAACTAATTTAAGGTTTGAAAATTCCAGGTAACATTAATGCCTTGTAAAACTAAGCATTAGTGCATTAAGTAATATTTCCACAGAAGAAGAAACAAGAATAGGAGAAGAATTCTAGCCAATCCAATGATATGTATGATCCATGTCCATCTAAACAAAAAGTGATGAAGCAATACAATGCAGCTGCAGACAGAAAATGGAATGCAAAATTCTCCTGAGGCTTATACAACATCAGATCTTCACTTTGTGATGATATATGCAGATTCACCCGAGGATCCTGCTTCTCTTCCGTTAGAAGTTCCCAGATTATACGCTCATCACTCCCGACATCCATGGAACGATCAATGGAGCATTTGGATGGGCGTTTCTATAAGCTTCTGAATACTGGTGCTGGAAGTTCAATTTGGGTTTCTCGGACTGCATGCATTTGTCAATAAGAATATCATGATTCACGAATAGCTTTTGTCTGACAGAAATGTTCGGTGAATTATGAGAGTAAAACAAGCAGAGAAAATGGGGACAGAACTTACGTATTTCAACCAGCATTCCTGATGTTTGTGTTGATAAATATCGGGGGAGTAGCATCCTTTTTCCGCTGGGCAGTAAACCCATATGTTGCATTTCTTGTCGCCCGATTTCGCACGCTTCGCCTGCTCCACACAAGCCCTACAACACTCGTATGCAGATTCTTTATGGTGGGTAAGACCCCATCTCACAGCAGCGCCATCATAATCGGTATGAAGTTCAGCGTTGCATTCAGGGGGAAGCCGTTTCCCCGCTATAATTTCAGGTTCTGAAGAACAAAAGTCCCTCGCATTAAAGAATGAAACGCTCCATAATTAAGCAAATAACTTCAATTCCTTGAATCTGAGAACGAAGGGATATGATTACCTAATTCCGCTCCTTCAGGCTTGTCATCGTGTTCCCTATTAATAACATCAGCAGGGATCCAGAGACCGATTTCCTCTAATACCTCAACCCAATCGACATCCAAAACTCTTGCAAGCATTCCTACAGAGAAAGGAACCCCTGAAATAAATATACGACAGAAAGGCACCCTCCAAAAAAAAAACACCAAAATACAAATAATTTCTTTCGAATAAATGTGCAAAATAGATGGTGAGAAGTGAAGGATAGAGATGAATTACTGGCTTCCTCTGGTTTAATAGTTGCAGTTGATGGGTTCCCGATAATAATGTCATTGGCTTCTTTTAATTTAGCCACGCGCCAGCTTTCAACTGCCTCTGCTCATCCAGAAAACCGAGATGACCAAATGTCAAAAATAGAAGTTTTAAAAAGCAACGTACTTTAATTTCAAAGGGAACTTTTTTGAACTTTGTTGGTCTGCTGCATAAGCTTAATGCCCCCTTACAATCCCCGGGAATCATAAAACCAAGGAAGCTTCAAATGGAAAACTCGATTGAAGTATAAAACAAAAATGATAAAAGTACAACCTACACCATAGGAGAATGTTACACAAACAACAGAGCACTTTTACCAAAAAGTAATTCAAAGTACAGCATTTCAAATGCCAAGTGCTTTTTTCATGCATTAATTCACTTCAGCTACTCTAAAATACCTAAACCGAACTACTAAATTGAAATTTAGTCCAAGGGATAATAATAAATAAATAAATAAATCAACAACTGAAAGCTTGTCAGCTTATAGGTTAATTGACACCTTTATCTCCCCAGTCTATATTAAACTACAACAATATCGGAAACCTCAAAGCATATACTTGTAACTCAATATGTTATAGTTGCCACTTGCCAGTGCAAATTTCATGGAGACACTATGCCAAGTTGTAGTTTAACATAATGCTTTAAAGCTACCCTTAAAAGTAAGCACTAAGAGACTATACTTTATTCATCATTTTCCAAAAAAATTAAACGTAATGTGAAACATAAGGTCTAATAGTTTACAAGATCATTTACATTGTATCTAGAAAATTTATAGTGTATTTGAATGGGCAGAAATGGAGGGAAAGAAAATTGGGTGGAAATTTAACTTGGGTGATGAAGGAAACTCGCATCCACTACCCGAAAGTGTGCACTGGTAAACCCTGCCTTGTGACCCTTAGCTGGCAAATGACTACAAGAAGGTAAACCAACCTCGGAAATTTAACTTCTTGTTTCGACAAGAAGAAAATAAAGGGAAATGGGAGAGAAGATGATCTCCCATCTTATCGAATATGGGAAGAAAACAAGTCCTTCCTTTACCAACACCCACTATGCACATGACTTAGTTCGTCTCTCCTTTTCAATACATGCACAGTCTCCATTTCACACTCTGATCTTCTCATTTTCTTTCCTCTCATCAAACTATCAAGTATCAAAGCACACATTTTCTTCTCAATTTTCCTTTCCCTCCTATTTTCTCTCCCATTTACTTTGCCCTCATTTTCAACCCATTCAAACACAGTATTAGTGTGTGGATTGCAGGACCAACAAAACCATTCACTCCAAAACATAGCATATAGTGTCATTCTAGATTGCAATAATCAAATATAATGCAGAAAACAGAAGTATTCCTAAAAACTATTTAAAGAATCCGGTGCTTAAAATGGTTAAGTTTAGGAATTGACAATTCACACGGTCACAATTCAAAAAGATTCCATAAACAGGATTAGAAATCTCGATAGATATAGTAAATGGAAGTGTTGGTAGCTGAAAATGAATGTGCAGTTGTGCACTCACCTCTCTGCATTGTTGTATTTGCATTGCCATCCAAGCCTCTTAAAGTTGCTAGTAACTCATCTGTTATCTTCCGCTTCAAGGGCTGGGGAACTTCCACAACCTTTTCTTCCACTAAAAATTCCTTCTTTAATTGGCTTACCTTCACAAGAACACAAATGTAGCCTTCATCAATCAATTGCACTAAAATCTTCAACATAAGCCTCAAAAATCACCAACCAAAATCTTAACACTGCAGCAAACAGATAAGAGAACTCCAAATCTAAAAGGACTCAGTCTTACCAATTTAATAAGCTCTGTAGGTTCTGATTCTTTCCTTATTCGAGTAGATTCTTCCATTTTCCTAATCTGATCTGGGGTATACCTAAAAGCTGCAAATACAAAACACCCAGTGACAAACCACTCTTTTACAGCCCAGAAAACCAAATTTCTCCAAATGGGTATGCACAAAAGCCACAATCAACAAACCCAGAATTGAATAGAAAGCTTACCACTTTGGGAATCATTGTAGGGATACGTATAGAGAGAATTGAAGAGAGACTGAAGCACATAGAGTGTGACCACAACGTTGATTGAACATATAATAATTGTCGTTCGCTTGTAAGAACACCATTTCCCTCTCGTCCCGTTGCTATTCCCCCCAACCGCCCACTCTGCCCTTGCCATCTCCCTTCTCCCTCAGCTCCTCATGCTTCGCCTCCATCCCATCATCTCTCTCGAAACTCCTCTTCCAATGTGCCCAAATCCCTATGTTTCCCCGTCTCTATCTTTCAGAACACAGTAGAAGAAGCAAGAACGAAGAAACAAATGCTCAACAGATTTATTCCTCCGAATTAATTATGGGAGTTTTTTTTTGTGGTTGAAGGATCGACGGATCGATAGTATCAATATCAAGGTTGTTCCTTTTTCTGGGTAGGCGTCCTGTTGATTGATTAAATAATAGTACCGACCTTATTAAAGTCGGAAGAATAATTAATACATTAGTAATATATATATATATTAATTATTTTCAGATGTCATTTATTAGTGCCGTCGCAGGTAAATTTCGGGTTACAGTTTGATTTAAGATTTAAATTTGGGATCTTTAGAAAGAAATTAGTATTGGAAGAAATGGGCTAAAGTGCTAAACTGCGCTGATTTCCCCGCAAACCCAAGCGAAGGGCAGTCCGGCCCGAGCCCAAATACGATTAGAATATTCCCCCGTCAAGAACAAAACGGCGGGAAGATTCAGATAACGTTGAAGAAGAAGAAGAGCTGGGATTCTCAATGATCTTTTATGACTTAGACCGTATATCATCATCTCTAACAAACTCATTATTTTATGAAGCAATATTTGTATAAATATTTGTTTTAGCCGTGTTTGGTAACACAGTTAGCTTATCAGCTAATTTTGACTTATTTAACAACTATTAACTGTTTAATTTGATCAATATTAGTGTTTGATTAATTAGTTTTTTGTAATAATTTATTACGCCAAAATGCTAAAATTCAAATTGTTCAAATCATTTTGTTCAAGTCATGAGATCGAGCCTCAGTGGAGGCGTTGTTGACTCTTTGTGCTTCATTAGGTTGAGAAAGTATATTTGAATAGATACTACAATGTAATAGAGTCAGTAGCATTCAAAAAAAAAAATCATTTTGTTTATCAATTTATTGATAAAGTAATTTTGTATGTAATCATATATCAGCTAACTTCATTTACCAAATATTTCTTTACAATCATTTAATGTTATTAGCTAGTCAAATTCACTAACTCAATCAGCTAATAACAAGTATTTACACACCCCTTTTATCGTTTGTTGAGAAGAAGATAGATATGTCTACACGAGTTTAGCTCAATAATTTAGTAGACAGTATTTGAATGAAGAGAACCAAATAAATACGATTATACGAACGCAAAAGTCAAGTGAATAATGTCAATAGTGTTGGGTATAATTTAATGTACTTACATTTGTATATATGTTATATGCACAATTTTCTATAACAAAATATTATATAATAATTCAAACTAAGGTTGCATTTCAACGGTCGACTGTCTGTGGTCTTTTTTAGTCTCCCATAGTCCCATTTGGGTGAAAAATCAAAGCAGTGCAAAAATGGTGATGTCAAAGGTGAAGTACGAGGAGCTACGGCAGCAGAGGGTGGAGGAGAACAAGAGAAGGTTGGAAGAGCTCCACCTTCCTCTGCTCTCTCTGGCCCTAAAAAATGCATCTCCCAAACCTTCTCCTGTATGTATAACCCTCGCCCTTCCGTTTTATTTTCTTTTATTTCGTTCCTAAAATCCGTCATGTTTTCTTGCAATCCTTCTGCGTTTCGCCGATTGTATAGATGAAGAAGGTGAAGCCGCGCGTAATCAGGACAGAGCTCGTCCCGTTGCGACGATCGCCCCGAGTCGCCAAATCCGCCGCGCCCGAGTACGCAGAAGTATTTCTCAATTCTCATTGCACTTTTTTGATGAAATTTTAGCAACATTCACTCTTTTTTGCAGTATTTTATCTTTGATTTACTGGAATGACTTGAACTCATTTGGATTGCACTATTGCAGGTGACCTACTACGAGCGGATCCTACCCCGAAGGTGATTAGTTGGAAAAGTTTAAAGTTGTGATTTTTTTTCTCCTATTGGGTATTTGCTTATTTTAAACTGCATTTTCTCATTGTGCTGTAGAGCTTCGTGCCCAAGGAGGGATCTCTCAAATAGGGTATATGCGTCTGACAAAGATAGGGCTGTTGCTACAGTGAAAGCGGAGAAGTTGGAGGCAAGTCTGGAGTCTAAAGTTCCAACCTTTGTTAGATCAATGCTTCCATCCCATGTTAGCGGTGGTTTTTGGCTGGTGAGAATCTGTCTCTTTGAAACTAGGAGAAGTTCGTAGTTTTTATTGTTTGGCCTACTAGTGCAGATGTAGAATGGGGAGATGTTACTACTACTTTATATCACAGCTATTACTTGTTAACAAAGTCCTGAACTTTGTATGAAAGAACTTGACAATCACATGTTTTTTCTATGGCTTTATTTTAACGAGTTATGGATAGCAGTAGCATTGCAGTCCAGATATGATGTTAAGGTATGAGGCGTGTATGCATATTAGCTAACTCTTGCATAGCTTCATTTCTTTGATGTTAGGTGTGCTTGAAATTTGCTATCTAATAAACGTGCAGATAGAATAGGAGTTTGTAGCTCTACTAGATAGATAGCATAGTGGATAGCTTATTTTCTCTGCCATACTCCTTTTCTTTCAGCCTTAAAAGACTAGCATTGTCACTTTGAGGATCAAAGCTGGGTTAGGATATGCAAGAAACGCATTGTTGGGGCTTTGGGTGCACAGAGAATGATTTGGACACCACCTAAGGACCACGTTGTGTGTGTGTGTATGCCAATAAACCAAGGGATTCTAACTCATCAATTTTGAAAATTGGTGTACATTATTATTTTATGGAAAATTGTTCACTACATAGTACATTTGAAAGCATGTGAAGCCTATGAAGGGCTGATAACACTGCTGGGATTCAATGATGCAGGGGCTTCCATCATACTTCTGCAGGAGGAACCTTCCAGCCCGAGATGAAACTGTGACATTGATAGATGAATCAGGAGCAGAGTGGCCAACTGTATACTTGGCCAGGAAAACAGGACTTAGTGGAGGATGGAAGAAGTTTGCTGTTGATCATGACTTGGTTGATGGGGATGCACTCGTTTTTCAATTGATAAAGCGTGCAGTATTTAAGGTGATGATGGCTAATAGGATACATGTTCATGATTTCTTATTACTTGGTGACCGAGTGACATGTGTCTAAGTTTTGGTTGGAACTTTGAAGGACATGCAGTGATGCTAGTCAAACCAGAGCGTGTTATTTTTACTTGATTTGATATGCACATGCATAAAAAGCATTAGAAGTATTTGCATTTGACATTCATGTGAAATACTAGGTTTCATTTAACATCATATGGTTTTACCGAAGTACTGAACTAACTTTGATTCCGTTTCTAGGTCTACATAACGAGACTCAATAATTTGGCAGATGATGATGGCAGTGAGACCTCCAACGACTAGTGTAATCTGGCTTGCAATTAATGGGTGTATAATAATGCAAAGTATGATATCCAGGTATGAACATACAGTACTACCAAAGTGGTAGAAAGATCGGGATATTATTAACTGTTTAGTTACAGAGTCATTGTCACTGCACAATTGTTACTTGTATAGGTTGAATTTAAAGCCTTTTCTGTTCAATTGACACAATCACATAACTATTGCTCCATGATTATGTAAGGAAAGATGCTTGACTATACCTGTATGTATCTTTTCGTGCTTGTTAAGGTCTTAGTACTATAGAAACATTAGTTGTTAATCTTCAAATAACCTGCAATTTGCACATTACCAGAGTAGAACTGCATGGGCTTTTGAGTTATGCCATGTTATTGGTATGGAGGCCTGTCGAACCAATAATGACTAATTCCAGTCTGATAAGAAATGATTATCGAAATGTTGCCTCAAAGACTAAAAGTAGAATCATACAATGAAACATAAAATCGCATTACTTGGTTGATTTGACACAAGGCTTAATCCATTGTCTGAGGTGGAAACTTATGGCAGACAACTCTGCTCACTTCTAGGTGCACAATAAAAATCACGCTTGTATTATTATCTGCAGAATATAAATAGATAACAAATGTGAGCTGGTAGGATGTCACTTCTTCTGTTCTGTGCAAATAAGGGGCTTGAAATCTCGTCGAGTATATGGTTGTGTTATGCTTATGTTGGCAATGATGTTTTCTTGTCTTATATTTTATTTTTTAAAATGGTTTTTTTTGCAGGGAAAGAGTGCAGCTGCTCAATGTTTGTGTATGTCGACTGTTTAGCCAGACATGTCACTACTCCGATGCACCTTCTGACCCACATATCTAGGGAGCAAAGTCATTAGTAGTTAGTTACATAGTAGATAAGTCTTAGGATTAGATATATTGTCTGCTGTCTTGGTGGCCCTCCTCTCTGGTCATGTTGTTCTTCAAAACAAGATGTTCTTGCTTAACCTGTTTTCTGACATTTCCATGGAAATGGCAGCTTATGTTTCCAAGATTTAGACTATCACTTAGATCTATTAGAATATGTAAGAAAACTACTAGAAATGTTTGTCCATTTACTGTGACCATTCTTATTTTTTCAATACAATGAAGAAAAAACAAATTATGTTGGGCGGGCAACACCCACTATATCCGCAAAAAGTAAGGATTTGATCCCTTTTGAGAATAATTTCAAGAATCTAGAGATCAATCTGAGTATGATCATAAAAGTTTGATCATAGCGCAATGTAAAATCTGATTCCTTTCGAGAAGAATTTTAAGAATTCAGAAGCCAATCTGAGTATGATCATAAAAGTATGCTAATTAGATAGTTGAAAGGAAATATCTTAAATTTACAGCAAGTTTAAAGGGGGTGGTTTTCTTGAACCATAATGGACACATGGCTAACAGCTGTAATGGGTTACCACTGATTTGCTCTTTCTCTGGTTAAATGGGAAGGGAGAATTATATATATTGACTTGGGTGGGGGGTGGTTGTCCAAAACCCAAAAATATGGTGAATATATATACATATTATTATTATATTAGTTTTGTGAAGAAGTTGGAAATGGTGGTGAACAGGCTGTTGATAGCAACCTTTGTTTGTGGGCAAAGCTGGATTTTCCAGCTTGCACAACAAGAAAATAACATGGCTCTCACCTTGATCATCGCCCTCTTTTGCTTCGTATAATTGCGGCTTGTCTCAGCCGGATGACAGCTGCTTCTTTTATTAATTCTCTCCCTAGATTTATGTTGAATTTTTGTTCATGAATCATACATGAATCTAAGTATACTTATAGCCGCATGCGCAGCTCAATTGATCACATCGGTAAAGTTTAGAAATAATTATCAGGGATGAGTTTCATCAGCGACAGTGTAGGAGTAACCTCTTAAAGTGAGGGAACTCCTTGTGCGCAGTAAGTAAAGATCTAGCCTCTCTGTTCAGCTAAGTTATCATGATTTACATCCTCCGTCGGAGTGTGGGGACTCTTCGGGTTAGGGATTTGACCTTTTGAGAAAATCTAAGTATACTTATATATAATTTCTGAAATATGACTTTCTCATCTATGACTAATCTAGATTTAGTCATGATCGTGTTTATAGAATTTAACTCTGAATAGAGAAAATGTTTAGTCAACAACTCTTTTTAACGTGGTAGACTTTTTACAATAATTAAATTTCTGACTAAAAAATCATATTGAATAATTCAAGACTACTATAGCATTAAAAGATATGACAAATCAATGAAAAAAATAGTATATTGTATATTGATTTAAGATGGGTTAAAATTTAATCTGACCACTGAATATCGAAGATCAACATTTTCATGTTGTTGAGCATATAACGATTAATGTGCAATCCAACTATCAGTTTAGGCTTTTAGTTGAAATGGAGCACATGCTTCAATTGGCACACTTATAAATTATAACTAGTACCATATATATATATATATATATATATATATATATATATATATATATATAGACTCCACACACTAAGACTAATTATGTTTATGTTAAGGTGACAATTCGAGGTCTCTCATTAAGTTGGAAAAGACTCGCAACATCTCATTGACACATCATGGATCTTTTAATATATCTCATTGATTATTAATTGAGATTTAGCACAAATGATCCAAGATTAAGTAATCAAAAAGTATACACCAAACCTATCCCTAAACAATTCCTTCTCTCTTTCTGTTTTTATATATATTGTTTAATTGTTTAATGTTTAATTAAATTGTGTGGGTTTTGGTATTGAAATTATTGTGAATGGCTGGCTGTATGTGCATTTTTTCGTGTGGCAAACAACTGAAGTTGACAGGCAGTGGCTAACGTTAATTATATTAATGGTCTTATAAGACAGTGATTTGAACCCTATAATTTACTCCCTAATCCCTATTAATTAGCGACTTTGTGTTTTATTTATTCATTCATCCTTAATCATTACTCTTCCGCGTTCCTTCAATTGTGGCGCGAATTTGATCTGTCTTACGCGGCATTTTTTTTTTAATTATTATTATTATTTTTTGTCTGTAGTACTCCAATCCCCCATCTCACCTAGATTTGCAAGGAAACCCTCCACATTTATTCTCTTCATTTAAGACACTAGAAACCTTAATTTATAAGAGTATTCTCTTTGAGAAAGTAATCTACACAAAAACATAGATTATAGACTCCTTGCGCAACACTCGAGTTCCTTTGTACTGTAATTTTCGAATTCAGTTTAACCACGACACGGCTAAACACCATACTATCTTGATGATTGTTAATCATTTAACAAATCTTATAATTTGATAATTAATCAATTATAATACATCGTCTAATATAATATTTCACAAAGTTTTAAACTCAAAATTGAGTTGAATTATCAATTTATAACCTGTTTGAACAACTCAACATTTCTACAAATTAAATATTTAATTTTTGGAAGAGATTTGTTTTCATTGACCATTTCATCCACATTATATTGTCCCATACAAATTACATTACATTAAACATAATACCTAATCCGTGCTTGGCGTGCTTCCAAGTTTTGTCTTCTGCGACACAGTGCCCATTCCACCACTTAGCTTGCAAATTGCAATTGGCCGACTAAAGTCGGCCTTGGTGATATGTACTAAAATGGATTGCAATTAGGACCCACTTTCATCACCCTTTTTCGTGCTTACACATGTATAAAGTCCTTAATCATGGACAAATTAAATAGCAGATAATAAAGACGACTCTAATTACGTATGATTACATACACCAATGTTTTATGTTAACGTAAAATCTCCTGCGACCCATCATTCAAAAGTTGTACTAGGATACCCGTCAAGTAATATTATATATCCTGAAGTGTTTTTCAAAAGTGTATATTACATGACAATACCTTAGGTGTTATACATTAACTTTTTGATATAAACACTCCAATTCTTTTGTATGTGAAAATCAAACACAAAGAACCAATAACGCTTCCACTGAAGCTCGAAATTACAACCTTCCAAATAAAAATTCAATCCAAATACTATTAGACCACATAATCTTGATATTCATCTTAATTACTTATTTAAACTTCACATTGATCTATTGATCATAGGCCCAATTATTCACTAGACTTTTAGTTGGTTTAATACTTCATCGAAAATATGTATGGTATGAAAAAATTATATGTATTTTTTTTAAGTGACAACGAAAATTGCGGACACTACCAATATGTGTTTCTTTGAAATGGTAAGAAAGGAGTAATAATTAGGGAAGATGATGAAGAAGCGCAAAGTAGAAGGGGAGGCGCACGATAAGTTAAGGAACAGCTCACACATATTCCAGCTTTTCTTTAACGCCGAATGGACCAGTTGGACATGTGTTCAAAACAACAATATGGACTTACTATATTGTATATAACTACGCTTAATACCAAAATTCATAAAAATTTAACCAAAAACCCCATCGCAGAATTTCTCCATTTACGCCCCTCAGCACCTTCTCTCTCTCTCTCTCTCTCTCTCTCTCTCTCTCCCGAGCAGTGTCCAGCGCAGCACAGAACAACAACAGCAACAATGGAATTTGTTCAGACGCTGGGATCCGCCTCTTCTTCCTCTTCTTCTTCTTGATAACTACGACTTTCACCATTTTCTTGTTTTTACCACCAAAAGTCTCGTACGTGTTTCTACTTTTGTTAATTTTCTGCGAATTTTCTAGTGCTTTGATCGATCTCGCGTGCCAATATCGTGTTTTCCGACCCCCATTTTCGTGAAGTTATGGGTACTATAGTTTAGGTGCTCTATAGAATCTCAGATTCTCAGATACTGTTGTTTCCGAAGAGATCTTGTTGAATTGGAGTGATTTTGGGTTGACTGTTGATAAAGTTGTCATTTTTAGTCTGGGTGTCATGTGATTGTTTAGTTTAACGAATATCATGCAAGATTAGTGTTTTGCCACTTGCCAGCATTGTTTATACGGGTGTTTTCTTTGTCTGTATGTCTTACAGGTTGGCATTGGGTTTGTGATTTCTGAATCAAGCTAAACATAGTTGGAAGATTAAATTCCGGGGCGAAAAATTTGCATCTTTCTGGAGAAAAAAAGTTTGGATTTTCTAATTGATTTGAAGGGGACCGAACTATGTTGTCGAAAGGTCAGCATCAGACGGTCCCATTGTCTGTGCTGTTGAAGCGTGAATTAGCCTCTGAGAAGATTGAAAAGCCGGAGATTTCTCATGGCCAAGCCAGCCAGAGCAAGAAAGGAGAAGACTTTACTCTTCTCAAGACTGAATGCCAGAGGATTCTGGGAGATGGGGTCACCACCTATTCGGTTTTCGGGGTATGCTTATCATGCTCCTTTTACATGTTTCTAGATTATTGTGGGTTTATCTGTGCACATTGTGTTCTAGATTATACAAGCTTCATTCAATTAATGACTTCTTGAAGTTTTATTTGATACCTTTATGTGCAATGGGTGATCTAGAAGGAAAAGAGTTCTTATAGTCATTTGCAGAAAGAAATTTGAAGTGTTTGTATATAATCACATGCTGATATGTTAGGCTGCAGGGTATAGTGTAGGTCAAATAAAATTTTCATTCTTATGGATTCTCCTGCAATTAGACCATGAGAATGACTGAGTAGGACCTCGAATTTTACCTGATCTGATTGGGAGCTAAAGGTGCACTGTGCTTTTTGCTGTTGGTGATGTGCACCTTCATAGTGTTTTGGATGGATAGAAGATGAGCGGAAGAAAATGGGGTGATAGTTTTCAAGTTATGTTGTTTGGATAAGATGGAAATGGAGTTATGGAGTGGAAAGAAAATGGGAGGAAAGTGGGGGAGAAAATATTCCCCCCATCCTATCAAAGATTTTCCACTCCAAAATGGGAAGGAAATAAGGACAAAATTTGTTATTCCTTTCTCTACAGGAGTCAATGCATGTTATACACACGACCTACAGACCTAGCTATTGTTCATTTTTTTTTTTTAATAAAATTATTTCTTATTTCTTGCTTTTTTGGATGCATTTGGAATTCATATATTAGGCTTAACAGCTCATCTTTGGATTTTGAGCTGTAGTTCTTTCAGGGTTTTCTTTTTCCTGTGAATTCTATCCTTTTGTGAAAGGAAATTCTGCAGTTTTTTTAAAAATATGTACTTGCCAAGTTTTCCTTAGCTTTGCACAAATCCATCGTTATTAAAAGTTTCTTCTTAAGCACACAACACCCATATATATCTGTAATCTGCATCTTATGTTTCAGCAAAGTGGAGGATATTGGCAACCCCATTTCTTTGCAATGCTAATTCTTACTGGATGCATTTTTTCACAACTTTTGCAGTTGTTTGATGGGCATAACGGGTCTGCAGCTGCTATATACTCCAAAGAACAACTCTTGAATAACATTTTGAGTGCAATTCCACCAGACCTCAACAGAGATGAATGGGTCTCTGCTTTGCCAAGGGCTTTAGTTGCTGGGTTTGTGAAAACAGATAAAGATTTCCAAGAAAGAGGTAATAGGTTTGGTTTGTCTATTGCATTAACATTTTAGTTGCATATGTAAAACTAGCCGTCATGGTTGAAGGCGTTCTGGTAGAGACTAGAGAGGACTGATTTCCTTTGAACTTATCATGATTAAGGACTACTGTTCTGAACCACCTGAGTGCATACTAATTCTTATATATTATTGTGCTATATTTCAGTGCAAACTTCTGGCACAACAGTCACATTTGTTATAATTGAGGGATGGGTTGTAACAGTTGCCTCAGTTGGTGATTCTCGATGTGTTCTTGAATCTGCTGAAGGGGAAATATATTATCTATCAGAAGATCACCGACTTGAATGCAATGCAGAGGAGTAAGAAATGTCATCCTATCCGATGCATAATATTGCTTCTGCTCATAGAATAGTGTTTTAATCCCATATCTTTAATTAAATAGGAGGGAACGCATTACAGCAAGTGGTGGAGAGGTTGGTCGGCTTAACACTGGTGGGGGAACAGAGGTATATTTCCTACTCCAAATTAATAACTCGCTCTCCAACTCCGTCCAATTTTGTCTAATTGTTTTAGCCTATTTTAGCAATTACAAACCCCCACCCCCTTTGTTTTGTCTAATTGACTCTTTGTGCTTCAGTAGGTTGAGAAAGTAGTTATGAACAAATACTGCATTGTAACAGAGTCAGTAGTACTCAAAAAAAAAAAAAAAAAAAAAAAAACCCCACCCCCTCCCTTCAAGTTGTTGTGCACACGGGTCTTACCAGCATTTGCTAATTGCTTTCATTTCAGATTGGTCCGTTAAGGTGTTGGCCTGGTGGGTTATGCCTCTCAAGATCCATCGGAGATATGGATGTTGGCGAGTATATAGTTCCCGTCCCTTATGTAAAGCAAGTAAAGGTTTGTTTTCTATTTGTTGCTCGTATAAGTGAATCTCACGTGTTTTGCCTTCTTTTGCCAATTTTTCACCTTTCACCTTCAAGAATGCTATTTGTACTGATTTTTTTTTTTTTTTTTTTAAATTATTATGTCTGCAGCTTTCCTCAGCTGGTGGGAGGCTTATTATAGCGAGTGATGGTGTCTGGGATGCAGTAACTGCAGAAACAGCTTTTGAATGTTGCCGTGGAATGCAACCAGATGCTGCAGCTTCACAAATTGTTAAAGTATGTTTTTATCTTTGACTGTTTGACTATTTACTTGATAATTTTCTTAGTGTTTAACTTGTGCCCGTTCCTCCAATTTTGAAGGAAGCCATACAACCAAAAGGTCTCCGGGATGACACAACATGCATTGTGATTGATATACAACCTCCAGAGAAGCCAAACCCTCCCCGGCCACAGCACAAAAAGACAGGAAAAGGAGTATTTAAGGCTATGTTCCGCAAAAAGATTTCTGAATCTTCTTCCAATGCAGAGAAAGATTATTGCGAATCAGATGGGGTCGAGGAACTATTTGAGGAAGGATCAGCATCACTTGCAGAAAGGTGGGTGTGAACGCAATGTTCTTAAGTTTACCTATGCATCTACCTCATATGGGACTCGGGCAGAGAATTTATTCATTTTCTATGTTTTTAATGGATTACAGGTTGGATACGAGGTACCCAATTTGTAATATGTTTAAGTTGTTCGTGTGTGCTGTGTGCCAAGTGGAGATAAAACCTGGAGAAGGTATTTCGGTTCATGCTGGATCAGCAGATTCAAGAAAGCCACGGCCTTGGGATGGTCCTTTTCTTTGCTCGAGCTGCCAAGAGAAGAGGGAAGCCATGGAAGGGAAACGACTTTATGGAGGTGAGACCTTCTCTCTCTCTCTCTCTCTCTCTCTCTCACTCACTCCTGCACCACAAAACTCATTCCTTGCATTCTTGACTTCTTGTACTATTTCCAGATGGCAGATACAGTAGTTGGAGCGACTAGTTATCCTCGCATACAAACTATTCACACGATCAGTCACTAACAATTGATTCATGGCTTATTGTATTTGGGGAAGGTGGAATTCACACACAGACCAAATTCCTCCTACCCATCTTCAGTGAAGGAACGAGTGTCGATTCTTCTTGTGACATACCCGAGATAAAAGCATCATCTTTGTTTATGTCTCCTTTAGGTCAAAAGAAGCAGTGTTTGCGTAGTACATAGCTGGGCCGGATTCTAACAAATTGTTTCTCTCATGGAGTTCTTCCGGTTCTCCATTTGAAGCCTCGTGGTTGTGGAGAATACTGCATAGCAAGAAACACGAGAGGTAATTACATCACAACCAGCAGCATCGATATCTGTTTAGTGTAGGGTTAATAGTGAGTGAGTGAAACATATTGTTATCTAGGAAGCTGTTTTAGGATTTTTCAATTTTTTTTTCCCACTCATCCGACGGGGAGAAACTAGCTGATCATCGCGATTATTATTGTATTCGTTCTTGTAGCATTGATTTGTTCCTTCATTCCCAGGCTTGAAAAAGAACAGAACAAGAAAAAGATTGAATCCACATCTGAGAGTTCCTTTCTGCCAAAGGCAGACAAAACAATGGTCTCTGTATCTATGAAATACTACCTACCAGTCTGATTGATTGATTGCTGTCTTTGTAAATACAGGAAATGTTTCCATCTTTCTGTGAACTTCAGCTTAAGATTCATTGATTGATTAAAAGCCATGGCAGATAGGAAAATGTTATGTGTACTTCCAATTTTTACTCTCGCACACAAAACCTTGATGTAGACCCTTGTGTTAGGACCCACATGGAAAAATTAGCTTATCAGAGCCTGTCATTTGGGAGTATATGTAGTAAAACTCTGGCAAATAACCCAAAAAATTAGCTTATATGTAGTAAAACTCAACCCAAAAAATTAGCTTATCAGAGCCTGTTACATCACTGAGAAAGATTTGAGAGTATATGTAGTAAAACTCTGGCAGATAACCCAAAAAGCCATGTCAGTTTCCAAGTCTTTGTTTGTGGGTTTGTGGGGATTGAGGGGTGGGGACATAAACATGGTATAGAAACAAATGCTTCACAGTCGTACAGCAAAAATCCTTGGTGGGAAAGCCCCTCTCTTTTCTGCTTTATGCCACTACTTTCATATTCTACCGATACCTGCTTTTCACAAGATAAAACTAATCTAGTTGAGTCCGATCAGGTCTCTTTCAGGAGCTGTGACTCATGACTCAAACAGTCGAACCTCTTTCACTTGAGTTTAAACACGCAAAGGAATAATCATTCATAGGATGGAGAGGCAAGAAAGCCAGCAAGCAACATGGTACAGGACAAACAAGAAAAAAGAAAAGCTGGGAATTGGGCAAATCTTCCCCTCCTTCCTCCCCTCCTTCTCTTATCTTTATACAATACATATATTGGATTGTGAGTGGAGAAAATGAGGTTGTCCATTGTCCACCAAAATAAAAATAATTAGTAGCTCCATGATTGAGATGTAAGATGCTGACCTTGACTACGTAAACAAAATTTCTCTGTTCTTTGGACCACCTTGTACACGGGTGTGTGGTCCCACCATCTTACCAAACTGTAAAATGCATGAACTAAAACAACCCATTCTTTTTTCTGAGTGATTGGAAAAACTCATAGTCGCTACTCGAAAGTATGTATTAGAAATTCTGATTGACAAATGACACAAGAAAGTAAATCAGCATGTACTAGAAATTCTGGTTGGCAAATGACACAAGAAAGTAAATCAGTATGTACTGAAAATTCTGGTTGACAAATAACACAAGAAAGTAAACCAATTTAGGTTGTCCATAACCGTTGAGAGTCGAACTTATAACGTTATAGTTACCAAATCAATAACGAAACTAACTTGTTGGGTTTGCCATCTAAAAAACAACAATTCTTGACAGGACCAATATAGCACTGCAGCCAGCCAGCCAGCCCCCCCTTTCATTCTCCCTTTCTGTTTGTTCTCTTCGTCTGAGTTGCAAAGCTGCTGTCTAACCAAAATCTTCAAAATGTCGAACTTGAAGCTCATATATTCTTCCTGTCCCTAAGGTTTATACAGGGTTTAGCTTCGTCTAGATCCCTATCCCATTCAGTGTACCCAATTCTCTTTTGTCCTCGCAGAGCCATCATGCATGTATGGTGGGGATATGATATTCTGCAAGCTGTGATCAATGAATTATTAATTTGCATTTTTATACTCATTATTAATGTTACCAACACCAATATCCACTCGTATCTATTTGAAGGAACTATGCTACCTAATTCGTTTTGTAGGGAGAGGAATAAATCCCCTCACGGGTCGAGCATCTTAACTTCTTAACCAAACCATTTTGTCTTCTAACTTCGCATAATATAAGCTCCCGGAAGAGATAACCGGATAAATATTACCGAGAAGTTGAGAAACCTGAAACAGTACGTGATTTAAACGTCAACTTGATCAGATAAGTGTTATAATGTGGAGTTTAATTAAATATTATACCCAAAGTGATAGGTGCAAAAGGGGACAAGACAAAAGAACTACATAATCTTATGTCAAATGTCGTAATTGTGTAATCAAAGATTCTTCTTGAGATAGGTGTAGGACAATTTTATGTGAATTTGAGCATGACTTATTGACCTTGCCCTTTTACAGTACAAATACTTCCTATCCGTATGGAGGAATCATTTTACAAAAATGAACTATTTCATGTAAAAAAAAAAAAGTACTTTTTTTTTTTCTTCACAAAGTTTACTTATTAGCCTGCAGGGTAGATTTTGGTACCACATATCTTTAGATTCTGTACTGCCAGATCAGTATCCCTTTGCTATTCATTCAAAGGGGATCCACTTCCACAGTCCTCACTAAAACATTCATAATATAAGGTGAAATAACTTATTCAGTATAGTTCAACTGGTCAGTTAATTTACAGAAAAGGTGATAACTTTGTTTCACTGACAGTTTATCGAAAAAGGTAATTTGTTCTTGGTTGATTAATCTTAAAAAAAGTTGATAACTTTGTTTTGCTGACAGTTCACCGAAAAAAGGTGAATCAACGATATCTAAGGCCGGTCAACATACCACTTGTACACCACATGGCTCTTTTTATTTTTATTTTTTTTTTTTCTTGAGTTTGTGAGTCCATTCATTCACAAGTATAACTGGCAAACAGGTTGCATATTGCATAAGACATTTTAGGTTGGCAGCCATCCCCCTTTCCTCTCTTTTCATATTCTTATCTCTGAATCTGCCTCCTCAGTTTTTTCCCTTTTGTTTCTCAAAAGGAAAATTCACTGAAAGAGAAAGAGAATCTGAGAAAATCTGAGAAAAACCCATACCGTATATCATTGAGTGATGGACAAGAAGCATCAGGAGATCAGAGACGACAAAGATGAAGAGAAGCAAGGGCGCAACAGAGTAAAGGAGGAAGAGGCGGCGGAAGAGCAAACATCGAGTAGTGGCAATGCCGCCGCCGCGTCACCGCCGTCAGCGTCGTCATCTCCGTCGCATGAATTTTCCTTCACCATTTCGCTCCATCAACCGTCTGCAAAAGCCCCAGACAGAACGAAATCTCCGCCGCAGCCGTCGTCGTTCGCCGTCGACTTAACTCCGGCCGATGAAATATTCTTCCACGGCCACTTGCTCCCCCTCCACCTCCTCTCCCACCTCCCCGTCTCCCCTCGCTCCTCCACCAACTCGCTGGAAAGTTTCACCCTTCCCATAAAAGAATTGCTGGAAAACCAAAGCTCATCACAACAAAACCCCGGCAGCCAACCAGACAACCATGATCATCAGAAAAACATTAATAACGATCAAAGAACCGAGGGGAAACCGAAATCCAGCAGGTCGTTCTCCTTGTTCTGGCTACCGAAATGGAGAAAAGGGTACGAGGTAAGAGACAAGGAAGAGAAGGAAAAACATTGGAGGAAGCTAAAATTTGACATAACTCAGGTTGTGAAGAGGTACATGAGAATGGTGAGACCACTCTTATCCTTCCGGCCCAGCAGAAGATCAGGGAATCTGCAGTTCGACCGGCAAGCTTATTCATATTCCGGCCACTTAAACCTGCGGCGCAAGAAAGATATTAGAGGCAAAAGAGGGGAGTATTCCGCGCCGGCATCGATGAGAACATCTCCGACAAACAGTGGCATCCTCGTACCACCGGCAACTTCCCCTACTTCTTCAAGCGACAGCACCATGGAAGAGTTACAGGCCGCCATTCAAGCTGCCATTGCTCACTGCAAGAAATCCATTCAAGTGGAAGATAAACTCAAATGTCAAGATTAGGCCTGCACATGAGCATATCCCAAACTTCTTTTTAATTTAATTTTCTCCCTTTTTTTTTAAATTACCATATTACTATTTTTTTGGTGCCGGGGAAATCCGCAGCCATTAGTCAAGTAAATCAGACTATATTATTCATAGTTGACTGCCTCAAATCAAGAAGGGCAATAAGCAGCTCTCAGAGAGGGAGGGAGTCGAAGTTGAAACTTTTAGTTATCACGTCAATAACTTGACTAACTTGTCTGTGGTTGCTCCTACCATTTTATTATTGGATGGGTTATTGCATTTTATTAGCAATAATTAGTCTTGTTGTGTCACATATTGATGGAAACTACACATATGTATGTATTTACAATGATGAGTTTGGATATATGGATGGTGCATGGTGGAGGATAATCATTAATAAGTGTAGTTTCTTTGAATAGTTGAATGTCTTGGATGATATTTTAAAGTATTGAATTATACTTTGTTTTATTATGCCTCAAATTGATTATGGGGCCTTCAAAACATCTAAAACAGTACTGCATCACAATTTAAAGTTATAATGGAGCCTGAATGACATATGGTACAGTTATTTAAATACATTACCTAGTCATATGGCAATAACAAAGATTGAATGATATATATGTCTCACAGTTCTTTATATACCGAACTTTAATGATATATCTTATAATTCTTTATATGCATTAGTTACATGGTGCTAATAGAGCTCGAATGATATGCCACATTTCTTTACATACATTCTTTACATGGTGATAACCAGGGTTTAATGATATATGTCACAATTCTTAAATACATTAGCTAGGATTGCAAAAAAAAATTAAATTTACCAACAGAAATTCCTTTTTATTTAATTTACCAACAGATTTTCATTGGTAATAAAACATTGAAATCCGTAGGTATTTAAGTTGTAGCGATTTAATTCGTTGTTAAATCGGATGGTATTTTGTTGTTTTTTTATAGTGTTTGGTGTTAATGGAGTTTGAATGATATGTACGTCACAATTCTTTACATACATTAGTCACTTGGTAATAATAGAGTTTGAATGAAATGTGTTACAATTCTTTACATACATTAGCTACGTCACTTCAAGAAAAATCTAACTTATCAATATAAATTATTATTTTTGGTAAATTACTAAAATTTGTATGTATTTAATTTACCAATAGATTTTCGTTGGTAAAACACTGAAATTATAGCTACTTTTTTTTTTTTTTTGGTTGAGGAGGGACAAGTCTGGTGACTAAAACTATCACCATTTAGTAACAGCACGCGATCTGGGAATCCCACCTGCATAATTCATTGAAGCTTCAATAACATATCTCGGAGGTTCAAACGTCTCATTCCAGCCTGCGTTTCGACCATTCACAATTATTTAATCCATGGTTAAATCTATTGTATTTTATTATTTTCTTGTAGTGTGCGATAATAACGGAATTTGAATGATAGGTGTCACAGATTTTTACATATATTAGCTACATGGTGATAACATAGTTCGAATGATATGTACCACAATTTTTTATATACATTAGCTAACCATAAATTAGTGGATTCTACCTTGAATTAATCATTGTACTCATACATTGCCATAAAATTTTGAACGAGTATAATGTTTTGGATTTAATGATAGCAAGAATTCATGGTAAGCCACATGTCCAACTTTTCTTGTGTCTGTTGTGCTTTCACTTTTTTTTCAATCACTACTATTTATGTAACAATGACATATAGGTAGTGTGGCCGCGAATGTGAAACTTGACCAATAAATTAGAATGGGGACCATTTTCAAAAACACGTACTATATAGATCTTGCACATTAATGGAATATCATTCAAAGAATTTGAAAGGGGTTGCTCTCAATGAGTTCATGCACATCTTGGCTATGTGCGAAAGTCTACACTACTGATTCACATCAAATGTGTACATTGCTTTCCATCATTACATAAATGTGTGTTCTGCTTGCATGGGCAGCTCAGTTGGTCATAGGGGTGAAGATTGGGAAGAATGACCAGAGATCAAGTCTCAGCAACGACAGTGAAGGTTAGGAAGAATGACCAAAGTGAGGGGAGCTCCTTGTGCACAGTAAGCAAAGGTTTAGCCTTTATGGTTCAGCAACGACAGTGGGAAGAATGACCAAAGTGAGGAGAGCTCCAGCTCCTTGTGCACAGTAAGCAAAGGTCTAGCCTTTATGATTCAGCTGCTCTGTTGCATAATTGAATTAAAACTTAGCAGAGATGTGATTATTAAGCTAATTGTTGATTTGCATAATTATGCACATTTCTAGTGTGGATGTTGGAAATTGATGAGAATGGAATGTGGTGATTTTTGTCAAGTACAACAATAATGTGGATGAGTGGTACTTGATGCAGCTTCACATCCCAAAGGCTTTTTGACCCAAGAACACATGGGATTGGTTAATCCCACCAAATGCATGTTAAGTTGTCATTAACAACATCATTAACAACACTTTTACCTCCCTTGATTCACTTTAGATCATCGCTTTTGTGATTGCGTTATTACTTTAATTCCCAAAAAGATGAGAATTGAAATCTTCTATCCTCATGCATGCATGCCTGCCTTTGATTACATCTCTACTTCCCAAGAAAAAAAAAGAGATGATTAACGGGCTCGAGAAAGATATTCTCATTATTAAGCACTAATTACTGTGCTTAGTGCTTTCCCTAAGTGAATATCTTTCAATTTCTGCTGCTGCTTCAAAAAAGATGTTTTTTTTCCATCTTCTCAAGAAACAATTCTTGTTTTCATTATTCAATGTGGTAATAGTTTCTTGTCTCATCCTACACGAAACCACAAATTCAGATCCTAATTACACTACAAAAGTTAGCTTAAATGCATCATCCCATAAATTCAAACCCTAATTACACTACAAAAGCTAGCTTAAATTCTCATCAGTGACCGATATGAAACTCGGGGACAAGTCATCAAGTCTATGATTAGACTCACTAATTAAGTAATGAAGTGCAGGGCAATGTTCACACCAAGACTCATAAAGGTGGTGAAGAAGACAAAACACAAGTTGGCAATGGAGCACAGTTAGCAGTCAGCCATAACAGATAATACAAACATTTCTGAATAATTGTAAACAGAACACAGGGTATAGCCCAGATCCATTATCCATCTTGATTGGAGGGGAAAACTACAGGATTTCATGTTTCACAGTTTGGTTTTAGTACACTGGGAAATGTCATTCAAGGGCACAGCGAGAATAAACAGGAATACACATTTTGACAGCCTTTCAACTACTACGTACTAGCAGACAACATTGTTATGTGCTCGGGAAATCCTTGATGGGTTAGACAATGTCTGGCTGGCTATCTCAAATGCGTTTTGGAGGAACATATGGCACGCGCTCATCTTCACAGAGATTCTGCAAAATCAGAAAAGAATTCAAGTATTGTCAAAAGATGTCTACTAAGTACTAACTAAAGTTTTCAAAAGGTTGTGTATATTTCAATTATGTCTGAACCTTTGAGATAAACTATAATACCTTAGAGATTTAAGAACAGTGTTGTTATACCAAACTACTCGTTCATATACATAATATAAAAGCTATAATAGTTACTGTAATAACACATTGCTATTACCATTTGTTTTATTAAAGCCAACATGAATATTCAACATCCAAAGAACAATGCATAAGTATTTTCTGTGCTGGTAACAGATCACTTGTATAACATAAAATGGCAGGCTGGAAACAAAAAGTTTCAGCTGGTCCAAGCATACCTTCTATTATAATCCAAAGAAGACTTAAATGATATCAAAATTCTACCAATTAAAGAGAAAGTTATGGCGAACAACTTTCAACTAATTAATGCTTCTCAAGTAAAGGATACCTAGGCATATGGAATATCCCCAAAATAAATCTTAAATTGAGACACTCAAAACAGAATATATTGAAATAAAGCACATTCTACTACGACACTAAGAACAGGTTGCAAGTAAAAACTGCTTCTCATACTATACCTGCAGATCTTCGGGAAGTGCCTCTGAAACTGCAAGGGTGTAACAGCCAGGGACAAAACGTCCTGTAGAGTTGAAACAATTACTAATTAACCCAACAAAATGCCCAGTCTTCCAAGAAAAAAGAAGCTCAGTAATTTGGATGCAGTAAACAAGTTCCAAAATAAAAGCTGCTATCCTTAACCTAGTAAGGTTGGCACAAAGCTTACGACATGCATTGCATTTTACTGAACCGTGATAACTTTAAGAATTGCAATTCATCTACTGAAAACCCAGACAGAATTTCCCAGAAACCCCCACCCAGACACGTTATTGCATGCATCTATAGATTATAGGCAATTATAATTCAACGGTAACACTTCCATAGTCACATTAGTATTTTCCATTTGTCCGAAGTCCCTACTTTGATGATTTGATCAAGAAAGATTCATTCCATTGATTAATTCAACAAAAAAAAAATGTAAAACATTTCCAAGCTCTAATGTGAAAATTTACAACTTGTTCCTATGTCTCAAATTAATCGATACTAAAATACCTTAAGCAGCAAAACTTTTTTAAAAAATCCCAAAAATAATGCTTCTAGAAGTAGGATTGAGGATGCTAGTGGATACCTATTCGAAGCCAGCGAGCAGCCCAGCTCCTACTTGGATCCATGACTGAGATAATCCTGCAAAAGAGTATAGCACCAATGCACCATAAGGAATTAAGCCTATAGGGAAAACAATGCTTAATAAAATAAGATACAAATAAGTGAAATAACAATGTAGTATTTGAAAGATACCCAGTGAAATTAGGCGTAGTGCAATCAACAACACGCTCATTATCTTCGTCCATCTTAAAGAAGGGACAGTTCTCACATCCAGACTCTCTGAACTGCAATTTCGTCAATATCAATAAACAACAAGGAACATCAAACCCACCATATCAACAATAATAGCAAAGGATTTCACTTCCCTTAGCTCTGTCTTACTTCAATCGTCTTGTACAGTTATATGAGAAAGGAAATTAACGTGGAGTTAGAGAAACAGAAAAGGCGAACCTGGTCATAGGTTTTGACGAGCCGGCAGCGAAGGCAAGCCCTGAGTTCGTGGCCAAAGCTCGTCGGAATTTGTGCCGCCGGTTGGTTACTTCCCATTGCTTCTCCCTCAAATTTCTGATAGTCTCTAGTGCCGCTTCTCCTTCTACTAGTTACTACGCCTCGCAATTCCGCAGCTCGTGAAAATTCCAACTGGTAGATCAACGAAAAAGACCATGCATACCTTGAAGAGATTCACAGAAATCCTCGCCGTCGGCTCCTCGATCTTCGTCGTTAGCCGCTAACTCCTCGACGTCGACAAGGTAACCCGTAACCAAGATTATACCTTTTAGCCATTACAGCCAACCCAAAACCGGCCCAACCCGCAAATTACGAGTTGAAAGCTACATTATCGGGCCAGCCTATATTGCTGCCCAGCCCAATATTGTACATTTGGTAGTTGATCCGTTTAAATTAATAAGACAACTTATCCTAAAAGGAATCAATAAATTATTCTAATTAAGAATTAAATTTGTAATATTTTGATTATCAAATTAATAGTTTAACAAGTTTGATTAGAATTGTTTTATGATTAAATATGTTATCTTGATTCTAGTGCAGTATGATAGCGTATAAATCTTCATGTAATATAATTATATAATATAATAATAATGTACTTCGAATTATAATTAAACATAAAAGAAGATGCTGGTGTCATTATGGAGTCAAGTTGTTAAGGATAATTATAGAGGTACATTCGAATAAGCTAAAATGGAATATGCCACGTCGCTTACTGCTTATTCAATGTATGAACTCTCAAGTCATGGCGGTTAATAATTTTCAGCAGTTCTTCTTTTGGATTCTTTACCAAAGTTGCTGCCTTTCTTTTTTCAGCTTTTGGGAGTAGATTGAGGAGGCCTTCCTTTCCCGGTCTGATCATCTGGGTATTTCTTAAATTTGTTCTATTTCTGTTTGCATTTGATTTATTCTTTTCCCTAATATTATCTCTGCTGAGGTTTTGAATTCCATGGGTGTAAAAAAAATAGTGAAGTTTAAGTTAAGAAATGGTTGAGATGTAGTGGGTTGAGGTATAAAGATGCAAAGTTGATGAATTGGGGAATTGGGGTTGTGATATTTTGATGATATATTGAGATTGTGTGACCTGGGAGATTGGGGAAGATGAATGCTGTAGGAAGATTAGGCAGCTATATTTCTAGAGGCGTATATAGTGTTTCGACACCTTTCCACCCGTTTGGTGGCGCTGTAGATATCATTGTGGTGGAGCAGCCAGATGGGAGCTTCAAGTCCTCTCCTTGGTATGTTAGGTTTGGGAAATTTCAGGGGGTTATGAAGACGAAAGAGAAAGAAGTTAATATATGTGTCAATGGTGTGGAAATGGATTTCCATATGTATTTGGGGAACGATGGTCAAGCTTGGTTTCTAAATGAGGTGGATGTTGAAGAGGGGGATAATCAATCTTCTCCTCCATCTTCAGGTGAGGATACAGATGGCCAGTCCAATTGCAGGCAGCCGATGAAGTCAAAAAGTTGCAGTTTTGAATCTTTCGATGGTGTTGAATCTGTTTCAGCTGCCAAGGCCGACGTGGGCGATGGGAGTGTTGTGGTTAGGAAAAATTCGCGGCGATCAGGGATTTTGGGGTATGTTTTTGGCAAGAGATCGATCAAAGAAAGGGATACGAGCATTGTTAGGGTGGATTCTTTGGAACGTGCTGAAATTGCAGCTGATCTTTTGGAGGTTAAATGGTCTACCAATCTTCGCTCTCCCAGGCGTCAAGTGTTAAAAATTTCTTCTCAAGATGTATCGAACAAGAGTAATGCAAAACAGAACTTGCCAATTGATGATAAAGTAGATTGTACAACGGATTATTTGGATAGTGGGAAAGAAAATGGCTCAGTTGATCACGAAAATGGTAGTGAGAAACAAAGGAAGGTCGTTGAAGAAACGGGTATTTACTTATCCTCTTCTGTATCAGAGTGTGTTACTGCAGGTGACATTATTGGGGATAAGAATTCTGTAATTAATTCAAATAGAATCATGGATGGCTTAGTCACCGAAACACATTCTCAACAAATCTATCTCCATCCTTTAGATAGTTCTTCTGAGGAAATAGAACCACATAGTAGTAGTACTGTATCGAGTTCGAACACCTCAAATTCCGAAGCATTAGTTGAGAAAATAATCATAGAGCATAAAAGTAGTGAGCTTCTACATCCTTGTGAACCGGATGGGGGAAGTGTCTCACATAGTACATCAACATCAGAGATCTTGGAGGTGGAGCAGCTCATCTTTGGTGAACTTGATGATTTAAATTCCAGCAACATCAAACATACCGTTCTTGCCGCTTCAGATTCGAAAGAGAAAGAAGTGATTGAATCTTTTATTCCAAGCAATGGGTTCATTTCTTCTTCTGACAAATATGTCCAAGGAAACCCACCATTTGTTGCCGATCGAATCAAGTTGAAATCTGTAGCAAGCGATGTTTGTATTTCAGCCACTTCTAGAGCTCAACCTGATGAAGTTCCAAGGTTGGCCAAATCTTTACCAATTATGTGGTCTCATGATAGTATTGTGCCCGGTGGACAGAATGATCAGCATCCAACCAAGATATCACAGGGATGTGAAGACGATAGGGTCATACAGGAGCTGAATGCTAAGCCTGTTGAGGCAGAAACCGGTAAAGTGACTGCACTCATGTACCATTTATCATCTTTTGCCCCATCTAAATTGGCAAACAAATTGTTTCCATATATCTCAATGTTGCCATTAATATATTGGTCTTGGTTTCTATATTATGCATACTATATACTCATAATCCAGAAACTTTTCATTTTCTCACAAGGCTTATGATATGACTTTGTTTTTTCCAGTGTTGTAAAAATCGGCCTAGGCGGCCACGTAGGCGCTAGGCGTCCCTAGGCCGAGACAATTTCAGCCCTAGGCAGCTTTTAGTCGGTTGACCGACTAACCAGCCGACTAGGCACTCTAGGCGCCGACTTGACCGAGTTTAGCGCCTAACTCGACCGAGTCGGTGCCTAACTTGGCCGAGTTGGCGCTCAACTCGGGCGAGTGGGTTTTTTTTTTACCTACTCGGCTACTCCTCTACTATATTTCTCCAGCCATGTACTCAACTAACCATCTAACATATGCAGATGACTAGTTTGGGGGATTATAACAATCTAACAACTCCTAGCCCTAAGTGGGAAATGGAGACGATATACTCGGATTACTAGGCCGCCTAGGCGCTAGGCGTCCCCTGGGGACCCGACTAGCGCCTTCTGCAACATTGATTTTTTCACGAGAAATTGATGGATTTTATTCTAAAAGAAGTTAAAATATTGCTTGCAGTTATTAATAATCTGAAACTGTTGCAGGGAAGAAGTCTCCTCCAACGGATGCCAATGGTGGAATCCATAGAACTTGGTCTTTTCCTATCAAGAGATCAAGAAGCACGAATCTGTCCCAGCATTCACTGAATGACGATAGAAATACAGAAGCCAAAACCCCTCTAAAAGTCTCCAGTGACAGCATGGAAGAAGATGTGTGTAAAGCTAAAGTCACTAAGAAGAAAGTAAGGGCACTCACTCCAACTTCTGAACAACTAGCATCTTTGAATCTGAAAGAGGGGAAGAATGTAGTGATATTCACATTCTCGACTCCTATGCTCGGGAAGCAGCAGGTCCTTTTTTGGCCATATTTATTTTTCATGCATTTGTAAGTCCATGCATTTGACTTTTTTAAGGCATACTTTGCAGGTTGATGCACAAATTTATTTGTGGAAATGGGACACGCGCATTGTGATATCTGATGTGGATGGGACAATTACCAGATCTGATGTTCTAGGACAATTCATGCCTTTGGTCGGGGTAGATTGGTCACAGACGGGTGTCGCACATCTCTTTTCAGCTATTAAGGTCTGTTGAATTATTTTCGTTTTTCTTTTTTCTTTTAGATTTGTCACGTGTTCCGCTTAAGTTTGAACGTTACTGCCAACTTCATTCATTTGTACGAGTACCTTTTCGTGGTCAACCAGTTAAAGTTTCCAAATGTGTACATCTTATCTCTGATACTATGTGTTATGGAATATATATTTGATATATGGAATCTCTATAGATTAGGCAGTCTTAGGGATTTAGGTAGGTAGGCATATGGAAACTTGTTTCCTATTCGTAGCCTTCTAGCACCTATTTATAAGGCTTTTTATTCTCTTTTCTATAAGACAGTTTGAGACAATATATGACAACACATTCATAAACCCTCCTTTTACTTTCGTAACATGGTATCAATTGGTGCTGTTTTTCTTATTATGGTACAGGAGAATGGGTTCCAATTGCTTTTCCTAAGTGCTCGTGCAATTTCTCAGGCCTATGTAACAAGACAATTCCTAATTAATCTTATGCAGGTGAATTTTTGATAAATTTAATTTTCTACCTGAATATTTATTATTCAACAAAATATAATTTAGTTAAATGCTAAATTGTCATCTTTCGTTGCAGGATGGAAAGGGATTGCCAGAAGGGCCTGTTATCATATCCCCTGATGGACTTTTTCCTTCTTTATACCGAGAAGGTCAGTAGTTATTATCACTTTCCTTTCGGGAGTACTTCTACGAGTATTATGTTTTCCATAACCATATCCACTACAAGCATTCCATTTTTTTTCTTTTTCATAATTCTAATATTTGTAGTCGTTAATTCAAATTGTTCATTGAAGTACGTTTTCCTGAAATGCAAGAGTTAGCTTTTGTTGTTGACTCGATGTTCCTTGTAACGTCATTTGCTGGAGTACTAACGTCCTTCACCGTCTTCCTTTAATTTCCAGTGGTACGAAGAGTCCCACATGAATTCAAAATCGCCTGCTTGGAGGTTCGTTGCTCGATTTGCTTCTTTCATTTGATTTTATCCCTTAAGGTCTTTATATACGCCATGCATGAAATGAATTGTTTGAGGTTTTTCATGTTAAAAGAATCGATTTTGCTCTGATTAGGTTGTTATGTTAAATGTTTCTATCTTCTTGACGAGCATTATTCATCTGTTTCTTTTTCTATCAAATTCTGTAGGATATCAAAGCATTGTTTCCTGTAGATAGAAACCCATTTTATGCCGGTTTTGGGAACAGAAACAGCGATGAGATTAGCTATCTCAAGGTTGGAATCCCAAAGGGAAAGATTTTCATTATAAACCCAAAGGTAATTAGCAAAATTTCACTCTTTCTTGTGCTGCATGGCGACATTGGACCTTAGAGGTTATTGTCTGATCACATGTAAAATATGCAGGGTGAAATTATTGTGAATCGGCATATTACCAACACAAAATCATATACTTCCCTTCGTGCTCTCGTGAATGGCATGTTTCCCGTTCTTTCCTCCTCCGAGCAGGTCCGGTCCCTTTTCTTTCTTCCTGTTATACATGTTCGTTTTTTACATCATTCGAGTTGGGAAAGGAGGTGATCAGCGTGTTTGCCTCGAATCCACTCCTTAGCCGAGTAGAACCTGGCCTATCCCTACCAAATTAGGAAATGACCTTTAGTCGTTTACCAACTTCCCGATTCTCTAAACATGTATCTCTCGTTTTCAGGAGGATTTCAATTCGTGGAATTTCTGGAAACTTCCTCCCCCGGCTCTCCATGGACGTTAAGCGAGTGGCTCGAGTTTCAACGCTCTTGGAAATCAAGGCGGTCGCCCTACTAGGCGGGGAATACAGTGGACTAGAAATCTAGCCAAGGAAGGTACAGAGTGGATTAAGTTGCCGGACATTCTGAATGAAAGGTATTGGGATAACGGGAATTATGTTTTAGAAATGCCGTTTTCCTTTTATTTGCCCCGGAAAAAAGGCCGGTATTGCATATTCAGTATTACACGAAAACTTGTAAAAAGGGTCTCATATAAGACCAACTGTATATATTATAGTGACTTTTTTTCCTTTTACTTTTTGTGGGATAGTTTGTTAATGTGTACAGTTTTTAATTGTATAGGACTGGCTTATGACCTATAGCCATGGACTACAGTCGTTATATTGTGCACTAGGGTGCACAATGCATTGTGCGCCCCGCTCTACCCAAAACGATGTCGTTTTAGTGCATTGTTAAAAAAAAATCATGTGTTTCGAATACATATAAATTCATAACAGAATACACAGAAACTCATAACTGAATACACATAATAGGGTTTGGACTTTGGACCATTTGGACAGACGGAGTAATGTCAGCAATTGAAATACGCATGTTTTGTGCCTGGATGCACATTGCTATGTACGCCGTGATGCACGATATAAATTGTCCATGGACTCACCCCTAGATGAATTGAAGATCGTAGAGAGGGGTGGGTTTTAGGTCTTTTCCACTGTTATCAATTATTATTGTTTAATTTTGCTATACCCGCATTTCTACCATTTATTATCCGTAACATATCTATCATTTATTATCCATATCATAATTTTCACACTTGAAATTATGAATTTAATTCTTATTAATATTTTTTTGATTAAGTTTTTATAAGCCAATTATTACGTTGTGTGATGACAGATCTGTTATCATTTCAAATAGATGGTGATATGATGGAATTCTTATAGAAAACAATGTGACACTAGCATATTCCTCTACTTTCTTTCTTGCTTTCTATCCATACTTAATAATCATTGAGCCAAAATGTGGTCCACACTCAACAATCAACATTTGTTCTTTCAATTCCTTTTCTTTCTTTCTTTTATGTATTTTATTTTATTTTTCAAACCAAACAAATCGAATAAAAGTTATTATCAGTAATTTCAAGAATTCAAGTAGACCATGACTCAGCTTTTTTAGTTTTTATTTTTGAAAGCAAACGAGCTCAATGACTAACTTACATTATTCTGTTTTCATATATATATTTACCAAGTTGTCTTTGGATACAAAACCTCAACTTAACTCAAAGCTGACTAGTTTAATTAAGATCACAAAAACCCGTCATATACTCACACACGTGCATGGATTTTTTTTTTTTAAAATATTTAGCAGCTTAATTAGGCGGAGCCTACTCTGCCTAGACTTGACTCTACCACCTGAGTCTCCCACTAACACCTAGTGTCTTGCAACCATGCTTTGAACACAACTTTACACATACAATTAACTGTTCACTAATCTTAGAAAGTTAAAATTAACCATTTTTTATTATATATTATATTGCCTTGCTATATATATATATATATATATATATATATATATATATATATATATATATATATATATATCTGCATCTCACTGAGAAAGTTACACATACAATTAACTCCTTTTCTGTATTACATATTTTCATAGCTATATATGATAAAGCTCCACATGCATGCAGATAAAGCAGACAAACGAACCCTAGGTAGGTGGGCGTAATCAATTCAAGAAATAGTAAAACCCCAACGGGAATGAGCATATCTGATAAGCTCATCCAGTTCATCCCCAGAAATGACCCCATCTCCATTATCATCAACCTTGCGAATTGCGCACCCAGCTTTTCTATTACAGAACCAGAAACCCATCTGCTTGAACGCAGCTCGCAGCTCCGTCCTGCTTATCCTCCCATCCCCATCTCTGTCGTACCTCCGTAACAGACCCTTAACTTGCGCCTCCGTTAGCGGGACCGACGACGACCCTCCTTGCCGCACAGTCATTATATATGTTTTTCGATCTAGTTTTGGTTAATTGATGATCGAGGAGGTTTAATTTGTGCCAGAGTTGAGGTTGCCGGTACATTCTGATCTGTCTTATAATGTTCAAAAAGTAAGGTTGCTGGTCAGTCAAGGTACCCACCAGTTTTCTGCTAAAGAATTTGTTCTTAGCTTTCTTCATGTGGAAGAATTGAAGATACTCTAAGAGCTAAGGATGCATCCGTATCTGTCTTCTCCACCTCCCAAGCCCCAATCCGTATCTAATCTATATTTCTCAGAATCTTATTCCGATCCGTTGCAAAACATTACTATAACAGAAACATGATTAACATTATATTGAGCAGTATGTGTCAGTCACAATAGGAATGGCAAGGGGATATAGCATAATTCTTGTATCAGAAAGTCACAAAAATTAAGTTTTCTTCTCGTGATTTGCGGATACGTAGTTGGACTTAATTAGTTTCATATTGAGATATTGGCCCTGTTTGGTAAAATGGCTGTTAGCTGATAGCTGTTTGCTGCTAGCTGATTGTATTAATTAGAGGGTATAAATAGTTGATAACATTAGCTGATTGTAGAAAAGTGTTTGGTAAATTAGCTGTTTGCTGATAGCTGTTTGATATAATTTCTTTTCTCAAAAAGCTAATTGAAAAAGTTGCTAGGAGTAACTTTTTTAATTTTAGCCTTTTGGAGTTGCAAAAAGCTAATTAACCAAACATTTATATTGATATTTTAACTAAATCAAACAATTAATAGTGGTCAAATAAGCCAAAATTGACCTATAGACCAATTTTTTACCAAACATGGCCATTATCACTTCTTTAAATTAAAATGTCTAGAGCAATAGATCGTTGCAACTCTTATATAGCAATGTCAATCTTAGTCCAAAATCAATGAACTAGCTTGATAAAATCGAAACTTTTTAAGGCTAAAGTCAAAATTTTTTAACATATTGAAAATCAGTCTAATAAGCTCAAAACTGATAAATTCAATTTCTGTACATGTAAACAAATAACTTAATAATTGCTGACACATAATATGATAGCTACAGGTACATAAACTATCAACTGCGGGTACAAAATGTGTCAACTATAGATACAGAATCTGATTTGATAATTGCTGACACATAATATGATAGTTACAGATACATAAACTATCAACTGCAAGGTAGATTATTATGTGTCAGAAACAAAATCTAAAAGTTATTTTTAGACCACAGTCTATAATGCAAGATTGACCCTAGTCCATGGTATAATTTGCCCAAGTTGGTATGGCCCATTGGTATGAATATCTAACTTCTTATTATGTGATGGACACAACATTATAGGCCCAAGTTGAGAATGGCCCATAAAAAGCCCAAAGATAAAGCATGTGGACAGTGAAGTCCGCCTTCCCTCTCCAGTCTCCTTTCTCTCGGTGCAATGGAGTCTCCAAAACCCTCTGTGGGTCCCTCTTCCAGTCCTCTCCTCTCGCTCTCCGCCTTCGTCCACCAGCACTGCGCCCGTCTCGGAGCCGACCTCTCTACCCGTCTCGACGAAGCCAAGCGTTTTGGCTCCAAATTAGCCGCCAGCTTCCCCGCCCCACCTCCATTAGTCGGAACTCGTTTGCAGCCGTTGCATTCATCACTCCCATTTGCTTCGGTGTCGCAAAAACCCGGACCCGGCTCCGGATTGAGCTCCGACCGCATCGCCAAAACTCTGCTCGGAACCTCGGTGTACACCGTCAGCAATGCAAACAATGAGTTCGTGCTCATCTCCGATCCCAATAGCGCTAAATCCATTGGCTTGCTTTGCTTCCGCAAAGAGGACGCAGAGGCATTTCGCGCTCAGGTTATTTTCATCTCAGTTTCCAACGCTAGTTTCCAAGTTGAAGTTAGTCTGCATTTATTTATTCATCATTGTGTGAATTTTCCAGGTGCGGTCCCGTAGGAGGGAAGTTAAAGGCGAGGTTAAGGTCGTTCCTATCACCCTTGATCAGGTGCGGATTTCAATCTTGTTTTTGGTATAATTGGATTTGGTTATAGGTTGATTAAGAAAAAAGATGCCTCATAAGAATTATGGAATGGAGTATAGAGAAAGAAGTGTTTTGCATGTAAAAGGTTTCAACTTTTCCTCAGACTAGTTTTGCATTTGATATAGTTTGCTTGCAACTACGAATTTTGCATTGGATATAGTTTTGTGGTCTTTGGAGTGTGTCCTTCAAGTGGATAAAGGTGCTTGCTTTTGCAGGTTTATATGTTGAATGTTGAAGGAATTGCATTTCGATTTTTGCCTGATCCTGTTCAATTAAAGAATGCTTTAGAGGTTGGTGTTTTGTTCTATGCTCTTCTTTTGGCAAGTTCCTGCCAATGAGTTTAATTAGTTTGGAAAATGGAAGTGCCAGTTATGCTACCGAAATGGTAGTGTAGGCGGTAGGTCAAGTTGAATTTCAATTCAATTACCAAAACATTTAAGCCACAGTTTTCTAGTCTGATAGAACTCAGAGAGTCATCATCATGTATTTGGTAAACATGAACAATCCATAACTATCTGACATCATGCTGACAATCTCAGAACTAGAGATAGTTAAGTACATTGAACTTGAAGGTTTTTCCAAATGGCTTTGGATGCTTTAGCTGACATGTCTTATGCTGCAGTTTTTATTCTTGCAGCAGTACCATAGTGTTTCCTCTTTCCTTCTGCTTCCATTCAATAGTATTGCTTAGGTCTGCTGAAATGTATTTGTTGTCTTGTATCCTTTTGATCCATTGTAACCTGACTCTTTTTTCCGTGAACTAGCTAAAAGCTAAAAGTACAACAAGCGGATTTGATGGAGTTCCTGTTTTTCAGGTGCGTTTATTCACTTATTAATTCAGTGTTTCCTTTTCTTTGCAAAATGAAGTGCAAAATCATCTCATCAGAAAAGTATCGGATGCACTTTGATGGAATTTCAGACAATTGACTGGTCATTTATGCGCTTTGATTTGTCCTATTGGTTTTTATTCAAAAGTAATAAATTGCATAGAATCTAGTCTAGATATATATAAGGATTAGTTTTCTTCTTTTATACAAGGTCAGCTAGTCTGAATCATTTTTTTTTTTTTTTTTTTTTTTAAACTTTTACATTCTTCTATGTATTTCGTTTAAGGACTAGCAAATGTATTTCTGCCAATACATGTAGACTGAAACCCCATGCATTTCGTTTAATTTTTGTTTTTATTTTTTTAATTTATAAATTTCCCCTGCTTCTAAAAACAAAAGATTAATCTTATATGACTGTGCTTGCAGTCAGATCTCCTTGTTGTGAAAAAGAGAAACAAGCGCTACTTGCCCATATTCTTCAGAAAGGTATATATGTCCTAATCCTTGCCTGTATCCTGATGAATATTGGTATGTGACTCGATTTATAACATGTATCATTTTGGAATTGCTATTTGTTGGCACAGGAAGATATAGAGAAAGAATTGTTAACCGTGTCAAGGGCATCACGAGGAGGATCCTGTGTTTCTCAGCACATAATGGTAACAAAACACCCTTCACTGTTGTTTACATGAAAGTATGGGTGAAGAATCCTCTTGGGTGCCCGCATTTACTGATTTTTTTTGGGGGGGGTACTTACAGGTGGGGAGTTTGGAAGATGTATTGACAAAAATGCAGGTAAGTGTTAAGGCCAACCTGCAAATGATTCTAAGATTAGCTCAGAAATTTTGTACTTTTCACGTCATTGATTAATCTATTTCTCTTACTCTTGGATTTCAGAAAAGTGGGAAAAACTCAGGTTGGGAAGATCTAGTTTTCATTCCACCTGGTAAAAGCCATTCACAGCATATTCAAGACATCATGAAACCATAAATGTCAAGCTAGGCTGATTCGACCCTGTAAGATTGTATCACTGTTTTCCCTTCCTTTCTTAGTCAGCTTTTTCTTTCCTTGCTGAATGTGCATGTTTGTGGGGTAGCCAAATTCTTTATATGTTGAGCCAATGCTGTGGAGTAGCTCAAGAATACATGTCAGAGATGCAATGTAACTTTTACAAAATATTAAGACAACTTACAAGTTACAATTAATTAATCAAGTGGGCCTATTTTGCCCCATCTATTCACAAGTCAGCTGTGTATTGTACAAGCCCTATTTATTTGTCAAAAAAAAAAAAAAAAAAAAAAAAAGGCCCCCGATCCCACTTGACTGTTTTGGTGATGAAGTAAATCGCGTGTTGTGTTTTAATGGTCTACATGACTACACGTTTCTTCGAGTGCTTGTATATAGTGTGGCTACCAGCAAAAGAAAGCTATTACTCTTCTTTGTATAGGTTGAATAGTTGAGATGTCCCGGGTATCGGGGCAGTTTCATTTATGTTTCTTCTCTTTTATATGTAGGTTTTGTTATAAGACATTGTATGAAGAACAATTGGGGACTGTTTTCAACTCTACCCTCATGTCAGCTCAATCCTCATAGGATTACCCTGAAACAGCCAGTTATAAACAAGCAACTATCCAATTATGGTATGTTAAAATAATTGGCTCAACTGCCCTTTGATTCCCATGGCAATAGGCGTGCATTTTGGTTGGCTTTTTATAATTCATTCCATTAAGAAGTCAACCATTTGGTAACAAAACCAATTCCCGGCACATGGCAACACCAGTTTTGCTGACTTACGTTTTATTTAGGAGCGTAAACGAGTCGAATTGAGCTCGAATCTAGACCAGTTTGAATTTGAAATAGTTATAACAGTTCGAGTTCCTAGTATATATGTGGAAGAGGGTTCGATTCTTATTCTTCCAACAAGAATGACAGATAAAGTAATTATTGTCCGCATGGTCAGCTTAATTGGTGATTGATTGTGGATTGATTGTGGATTGATTGTGGAAAAGATAAATAAAGGCCAGCCCAAAAATTGTGTTTGTTCCCAATCATTATAAATTAAAAACTCTTGTACCAATTATTAATTGAACAGTTGACATTGAGTGTAATCGTGATAGTTCACCACACAATATTCCCTGTTTGGCTGTGCGAAACGTGGCCAAAACTTTGGGTACGGGGAGTGATGATCATATCCATATGCTGCAAAATTCCATAACAACGAATATTAAGAATATCGGTTATAAGTAAAATTTGCAAAATAGGCAACGAGAGTATTCTTATAAGTAAATTGAATAGCTTAATATTGTTATAATTCATGTTATTTCTATATATAATCATTAATATGGAAAAAAAAAATTAAAAATGGGAATGAGTAGAAAATGCAAGTATTGGTGCAGCCTCGCGATTTAGTAAAGCAAAACAGCGATATTGCCGTGTGCAGGATGTTGACATGACAACAAAAAAGTGGTTGGCATGCTTCTCCCCCAACAACTATAGATCAAATGCAAATTCTTGAATATTACGGGAAGACTATTTATTTATTTGTTTTTTTTTTTAACGAAAGAAACTCACAGTCATCACACAGTGTAAATGAAATAAATTATTAACAAAAATTAAATTTGTAATTTTCAAATACAAAATTATATTTCACCTATTGAGTAAGATTTTTAATAATACCAATGAAAAAAAAAAAGTAAGATAAAATGTAAGTAATTCTTAAATATTTGGTCGGACATTTTGTCTGCAAGGTAAGAAAACCCATACATAAGTAACCGACGAGTGGAAATCTTCTAGTGATTCCTATTATTTCTCTCTAGATTATATTAATCCCCTAATTACATGCCCTTTCATCACCTTCTTCTCTCTCTAACAACTGCGCCTAAATCCCTTTTAAATATATGTTAATCTTCCTAATTAATTGGTGTTTTCCATATTAGAAGCTAAGCGGGGCAGTAGGGTTAGACCGACCCAGAGCAGTACATAGTATAACAAGCTCCCGGTGGGAGTTTTCTTGAGATCGATGAAGTTGATGATGTTGTTGAAGCCTTCGAAAGCCCTAGTCATCAGAATCAACCTGGTTTTATTGGCCGGTTTCTTGATCGTCTATGCCGCCCTTCTTCTCCGGCCATCTTCTTCCCTTTACCATGAAAATGCAGTATCGTTTCTTTCGTGCTCTCTACGCGAGTGCCATCATCATAAGGTAAGGTGAGAGAGATAATTGTGTTTACTTTCATGGTGTCCAGAATGTTACGAGTTTGATTCTTTTTCTTAATTTGAGCTGGTCAACTATGGACATCAAATAGTGACTACAGATTTCTTTCTCAGTATAGTTATATGAATGTAGTTTTTAGAGGATTTGTTGATTGTTTGAATGTAGGGGGATGGAGGGATAAAGATGAAGGCGATGATGGAGGAGCCGCGAGGGAATGAATCGAGGTTGGAGAAGAAGAAGGTGAAGAGGGAGAGGCCGAGTTTCATGAGGGAAATGGGGGGGAGAGGGATGAAGGTAGGGATGGTGAACATGAAGGACGAGGATGTCGGGGAGTGGGAGGTCAACGGCGGGGAAGCGATCCACGTGAGTTTCGAGAAAGCGTCGGAGCTTTTCGAGTGGAAAGAGCTGTTCCCGGAGTGGATCGACGAGGAGGAGGAGATGGACGGGACGTTTTGCCCGGAGATACCAATGCCGGAGATGGGGAGCTACCCGTACGTGGACGTGGTGGTGGCGAAGGTGCCATGCAATTATTCGGAGGCAGGCGTGGCGGATGGGAGGGATGTGTTCCGGCTGCAACTGCATTTGATCGCGGCGAATTTGGCGGTGAAGAGAGGGAAGAGGGACTGGCACCGGCGGACGAAGGTGGTGGTGCTGAGCGAGTGTCGGCCGATGGTGGAGCTTTTCCGGTGCGATGATTTGAAGGAGAGGGAAGGAGACTGGTGGCATTTTGAAGTGGATATGGCGAAATTAGAACACAAAGTTTCTTTGCCGGTTGGTTCCTGCAATTTGGCTTTGCCCCTTTGGGGAAAAGGTACTTCAATTCTTTTTCACTTTTTTTTTTTTTTTTTTTTTATTGTAAGATTAATTTAGACTCTAAAATGTAACTCTTACTCAAGATAAGTCTGACTTAAAAGATGTTATAATTTAAAGATAATATAATGATTAATTTATTTATTATAAGAATTTGTATGTAATAATATAATATGTCATCATATTGTATATGGTGATAGAGATTTTTGTAATAAGCTAATGAACATATTTTCTGCTTATTAGGAAAGAAAGAAAGAAAACTTAGCTTATTAAAGACAATTTTTAGGTAGGATTTCACCTAATGGCTGGTTAGTGCAATTATAATAGTTGGAAAGTTAATTTCAATAGATTATAATTTTACATTGAAATTAATATAGGGAAAAAATGTAAATATAGTAGTTTGTCAATCAACTATTAATATAATTATAAAGTTCAAGGTTTGGTCAAGTCAATACTTTCTTGATCGAACTCGTCTGGAAAGAGTCTTTCTAGCTATCTAGTTCGATTTCCTTAAGGTTTGGTCAAGTTTTTCTTCATTTAAAAGTTAAAACTTTGCGATGCACACGACACACCCTCGATTCTTTGAATAGTGACTACGAGTTTTTTCAACACTCATAAAAAACATTGGATGCAAAATAAATAATTTAATAAAATAGTGCTAGTTAGTTGGGGAGGAATTGTCAATTAAAATTTTATGTTTTGCTAAGTTGCCAAGTAATGGAACCAAAAGAATAAACCAGCATGATCATGAAATATATGACTAGAAGCTAAGGATCATGACCCAACAACTAGTATCTTTTTAAATTTCTATACACGTGGTTAGTTGTATGAATATTTAATACCATAACAATATGTTTAGAATAATTTTACTTGCATTGTTCTATCTCATTTTATTTAATTAACTTGTAATGCAAACCATTAATAAATTTATAAATATAAAATATTACAACTGATGTCTGGTAAGTGAAGACTTAGATAAACCAATTTAAGTTACTCATAACTGATTATCTCAAAATAAAAAATTTCATAGTTATTAAATTAGTATATGCTCTTATTTTAAATTACGGGGTTGTTTTGTGAACATTATCAAACAGAATTTATAGCTTATTATTCATTAGTAGCTTAAAATAAATTATAAGCTTAGCTATATAACTCTACATGTGCAGGTATAGATGAAGTTTATGATGTTTCCAAGCTTGAGGAAAGCACAACAGTATCAAAACGAGAAGCCTATGTGACTGTTCTTCATTCAACCGACGCCTATGTCTGCGGTGCGATAACTCTTGCCCAGAGCCTCCTCCGGACGGGAACCAAACGCGACCTTATCCTCCTCCTGGACAAGAGTATATCCCCCAACAAACGCCAAGCTCTCATCAATGCCGGCTGGAAGCTCCGATTCATCAAACGGATCCGAAACCCTAGGGCCGAGAAGGGCACCTACAACGAATACAATTACAGCAAGTTCCGGCTATGGCAGCTCACCGAGTACGACAAGATCATATTCATCGACGCCGACATCATCGTCCAGCGCAACATCGACATCCTCTTCCATTTCCCTCAGATGTCGGCCTCCGGCAACGACGGCTCCATCTTCAACTCCGGCGTCATGGTCATCGAGCCTTCCAATTGCACTTTCCGCATGTTCATGCAGCGCCGGAAGGAGATCGTCTCCTACAACGGCGGCGACCAGGGTTTCCTAAACGAGGTTTTCGTCTGGTGGCATAGGTTGCCGAGAAGGGTGAATTTCCTGAAGAATTTCTGGTCCAATTCCTCCGTCGAAGCCGGCGTGAAGAACCAGCTATTCGGGTCGGACCCTCCCAAGCTTTACGCCATTCATTACTTAGGGTTAAAGCCGTGGCTCTGTTATAGAGACTACGATTGCAATTGGGACATTGAAGATCAACGCGTTTACGCCAGTGACGTGGCGCATCGGACGTGGTGGAGACTTCATGACTCCATGGATGAAAGCTTGCAGAAATTTTGCGAATTATCGGAGCGGAGGAAGATTGAGTTGGAATGGGATAGGAATAAGGCTAGAAAAATGGGGTTAAAAGATGAGCATTTGAACATCAATGTTACTGATCCTAGAAAGTTTAACTGATGCGTGTCTGATCTACAGTTTTCTGCCATTTTTTTTACCCCCTTGAGCTTCATTATTGTTTCTGATGATGATTCATATTTTTTCACATAGAATTTTATGCATGCACATATAATATGGTTTTATTTGGTTGGCACATATAATTTATTTATTGTATATGGTTTCTGAATATATAGTTTAATTAACTTCAAGTTCCAATTCTATTCCACCATTTCTTGCCGTTTTATGTGACTTTTGTGGCTATTAAAACTATTGTTATTTGACAAAGAAGAAGAAGAATCAAGAAACAGAAGTGTCAACTTTTGTGTTTGAAAAAAAAAAACCTCTGCTAATTGGCGTGAACGTGGGGATTGGATAACGTGTTTAAGGCATCCTTAATCAAAGGTAGAGGATTTGATCATTGCTTTTGGGAATTGAGCAGTTTTAAATTTCTTGGCCAACTGTCCCACCAAAGAGGTATCTACAATTCAGCGAGGGGATTAGTCACTGTGTTGGACGAAAAAAATTAATAGTGATATGCATGAGCCTACGAACAAAATTAATAGTGATATGCATGAGCCTATGAAAAAATTAATAGTGATATGCATGAGCCTACTGGGTGTGAATATTGCGCCACGCGCACAAATTTGGAATTCCTTTTCTCCTTTTCTCTTTTCACTTGGACCCCACAAAAAACCTTCACTTGCAAACCAAAAATACCTAAAAAAAAAACATCATTCCCATTTGTTCAGAAACAACACTCGTGATTTTTTTTTTCTTCCTCAAACACGGTGAAAACGCCATTGCTTTAGATGCTCTTATTGATGGATTTGTAATCGTGATCCGGATCAAATTTAGATTAACCTTATTGTGGTGAAGATAATAGTTGTAGTATGTAAAGAAAATTGTGTGATTTTATTTGGGAAGGGGACAACTTTAGGTGTACCAAACACAAAAAATATTCATATTTGACTTACACTAGGCATGCTTCACAATGGATTATACGCTTATAATAAATGAAAATAAAAAATGAAATTTCAATGATAATTTTATTTGGTTAGTTAATTAAAATTAATTCAATCATAACTGGTTGATAAGTTTCAAAGAAGCTGTGTTCTCAAAACTCAAACATAAAAATCTTCATTAAATTGGGAGAGACTTGTTTCATTTCATCTACTAGCCAATAATTTATTAATTACGGGTCTCTCTTTAATTTACCTTCGATTCCAACAAAGAATTGTACGGAGTATAAAACAAACCAAAAAAAAGGACAAATCCTTAAAGTTCACAAACAAATGGAAAAACATCGGAACGGTATCTCCGTAGGTAGGCTCATGTGTTTCCCACCACGTGTAATCCTCTTTTCATTTTTACTTTAAAAAAAAAAAAAAAAAATTTTCTTCCGGATTTTATGATTGAGGATTTGAGGTTCCCTTTAGAAATTTTCAAACCAGTGACTTTTCTTACCTTTTTATCTTTTATTTTAAAAAATTTTATATAACAACGAAAGAGAGTCAGAGACACCCAGACACAGAGGCGGATTCATTTGCAGCGTCAGAATTTTGACTTCTCTGTGGTGCTTCCACTGATTCCTGGTATGTTTGTTCTTCTCTGTTTTTTTCCTTTTTTTTTTTTTTTTTTTGGAGTTTTTAATCCGCAAACGATGATTTGTTGTCTCTGGTAATCCCTGTTTTGTTTTAATGTTTCAATAATTGATCTTAATCTTTGATATGATTGTTCTTCCTACATGTATACGCCGATATGAAAAGCAAAGCTAGAAAGAAGCTAGGATTGTTTGGAAACTTTGATTTGAGATGATTTTATGTTTTTGTGTTTGTTTGCCTTTTTTGGAAATTTTGGTTTGAGGAAAGGCAATTAGAAAATCTGTAAATTGGGTGGGCAATTTTGATTCATAAAATTGGGGTTGTTTGGGGACAAAGACATCAAGGATTCATCCTTGTCGGACGATGTGGTCTATATTCGATGATTCGTTATTCTGTTGCCCCTTCTAAATGGTCCCTAGGTTTTCCCCAACTATAAAACCACAGGAATTACCATGCAAGGGGGGGATGGAAAATGAAGAAAAACACAGATTGTATATACAGAGGTTGTTTAAGGTTGTATGTAATGGTTCAATGTTCCGATCCTCTTGTTTTTAACCAACGAAATTGAAGGAGAATTAGAGTATAGAAAAGCCTGATCTGCTATATGAATGCTAAATATATCATTAAACGTATGTATTCTCAGTTTCCTTTATTTCTCAGGATTCTCGTCACAACTTGGTTCACCTTAGCTGTTTCTTGAATGGAGGATGTGAAAAGTATGAAGGAAAATGGTCCGTCAGAATGCTCTATTGTATCTGAGGCTTCTATACTGAACGAGGATCGGGCAAACGGTGCAGCATCTGAGACGAGCGAAAACATCGATGGAAAAATGAGCCATGAAATGCAGGCTTCAGATAGTTGTAAAGCCGAGCATGATGATGGCGGTGGATACCTGGAAGAGGATCAACCTTCTCCATCGGGAAATTTGATTATTTCAACTTCTTCTCCGGTCAATGAAAGCGAAACGGGTATTATAACATTTGAAACTGAATCTCCCCAACTGGAAGCATTACTTCCACTACCAGAGAATCCAGAACCATTGGAGCGTCGCAGAGATGAAAATTCTACGGCTCTCCCAGAATCCCTTCCTTTATCCGTCTTAGATGCAAAGCCAAGTGATTCCGGTTCTCTCCCCGCTGCTCATACCCAAGACCCTGCAATTATACAAGATGCCTCACCTTCGTTACCCAGTAATTCTAACTCAGACACGCTGAAACTTCCAGAAGAACCGATATCTGTCCTGCCAAATCAGTCGGAAACAGGACCCACGATTGCTTCAGAGTTATCTACAGAAATTACTTCTCCTGGAAACGGTGCTGACACACCTTCCACCTCATCCCATAGCGCAAGAGAGGCTGAGAATGACAATAATGCAGAAAAAAGAATCAATGATGTATTAGAGCAATTGAAAAAAGCAACAGAAAATGATGCCGATACATGTCTGACCTCATCCTGTGAAGTGGAAGGGACCGAAAGTGCTGGTCACTCAGAAACAAGGACAATCGATGCTTCAGAGCTATCTAAAGAGGCTATTTCTTCTGCAGATACACCATTTGCCTCGTCCCCTCAAGTGAGCAAGGACGAGAGCGATACACATTCTGCTTCACCCCCTCAAGCGACTCAAAGTGGAAATAGTTTTATGACATCAGGTAACGGTGGCCAGGCTCTAGCAAAACTTTCCAACCTATTTTTCAAAACCTCAGCAGCCGCTACCGCTTCCAAACATCCCGAAAATGCTCAAATTGACACAGCAGCACCTTTTGAATCGGTGAAGCAAGCCGTTTCTAGATTCGGTGCTATTGTTGACTGGAAAGCTCATCGATCCCAGACTATGGAGGTATAACCATTTCCTACTCTCAGATATTTACCTCGTACTTGTCCTTTTCCAACTCTTGATTCAGGTTTTATGATGATTTTGAATGCAGAGACGAAAGTTTATTGATCATGAACTACTCAAAGTGAACGAAGACATTCCATTGTTGAAAAAACAGTGCGAAGATGCTGATGAGGCAAAAGTGAATGTTTTGAAGGAGTTGGACAGCACTAAAAGACTAATTGAAGAATTGAAGCTTAACCTCGAGAGAGCACAAATAGAGGAGCAACAAGCGAAACAGGATTCCGAGCTTGCAATGCTCCGAGTGGAAGAGATTGAGCTAGGAATCACCGATGAGGCTAGCACTGCCGCCAAAGTGCAGCTCGAGGTAGCTATAGCCAGGCATATGGCTGCCGCATCTGAGCTGAAAAGTGTGACGACTGACTTGGAACAACTCCAGGTAGATTATTCTCTCATGGTGTCTGATAGAGATGCGTGGGTAAAAAAGGCGGAGGACGCTGTTTTGGCTTCCCAAGAAGTCGAGAAGACGGTGGAGGATTTAACTATCGAGCTTATAACCTTGAGGGGCGATTTAGATGCTGCACATGCTGCGCATTTGGAGGCTGAGGAACATAGACTTGGAGCAGCAATGGCGAGAGAGCAGGATATTCTATTCTGGGAGAAAGAAGTCAAGCAGGCAGAAGAGGAGCTCGAGAAGACAAACCAGCAGATCGAGACCGTAAAGGATCTCAAATCAAATTTAGACACTGCTACGGCCTTGCTGCACGATCTGAAAGCAGAATTGGCCAATTATATGGAAGCAAAGCGGGAAGCAGAAACTGATGGAGGGAACACAAAAGGTGAGTTGCTAGATCCAGAACGAAAGACTCATTTCGAAATGCTAGCAGCAGCGGAGTCAGCTAAGAAGGAACTCAGAGAAGTGAAGCATAATTTGGAGAAAGCAATGGATGAAGTGAATTGCCTGAGAGTGGCAGCCACTTCATTGAAGTCGGAACTGGAAAAGGAAAAGTCGGAGCTTTCCAACGTTGAGCAGAGAGAAGGAATGGCATCGATTGCGGTTGCATCTCTCGAAGTCGAGCTAAGCACGACCAAGTCAGATATTGCCCTCGCACAGGTGAAAGAGAAAGAAGCTAGAGAAAGGTTGGCGGAGCTTTCGAAACAACTGCAAGAGGCAGCACGAGAGGCAGACCTTGCAAAGTCGGCTGCTGAAACAGCTCGTGAAGAGCTGAGAAAAGCAAAGGAGGAAGCAGAGCAAGTGAGTGCTGCAGCTAGAACCGTGGAAAGTAGACTACTCGCAGCTCGAATGGAGATCGAAGCTGCAAAAGCTTCAGAGAAGTTGGCAGCAGCAGCTATGAGTGCACTGGAAGAGAGTGATTTAGCTCAAAGCACCAATGGTGAGGGTGCAGGAACTGGAGTAACACTTTCTTTAGAAGAATATTATGTGCTGACCAAGAAGGCCAACAAGGCAGAAGAGCGAGCTAAAATGAGGGTGGCTGCTGCTATCTCTCAAATTAAGGTAGCCAAGCAGTCCGAGTGGAAAAGCCTGAATAGGCTGGAGGAAGTTAATTCTGAGTTATCTGTAAGAAAGGAGGGTCTACGAATTGCACTAGAGAAGTCCGAGAAAGCCAAGAAAGGGAAGCTGGCTGTAGAACAAGAGCTGAGAAAATGGAGGTCAGACCATGCCACTGAATCTCATCCAGAAAATCCAACACTTACCCCGAGATCAGGTGTTGAGGAGAGAAAAGAATCAAAACCGGAGGCTGCCCCTACAATTCACCATAGGTGGTCTATGTCTATCCCAAGCGGACTGAAGAATCCAATCTACTCGAAAGAATCATCTATTTCGCAAGAAGGCAGCACCAAATCTGATACATCTTCTGAAGGGAAGAGCTCAAAGAAAAAGAAGAAACCAATCATACCACGGGTCTTGATGTTCTTTACCAAAAAGAAAGTACCGTCTAAGTCTGCATGATACAGAATCAAGACACACCACCTCTCTTTTTGGGGCCTTTACAGATCAAAAGAATAAGCTCTTGAAAAATATTGATTGTACATGTTTTGCATTGTTTTTGTGTACAATAATCTTTTGATTTTCACAGATTAAAAGGCAAAGTAGCTTGTATAGTGCCTTAAGGGAATAAGTTCATTACATGTTTGGTTGGGAAAGGGTAATAAGGCTTTTTTTTGCAGTTACGTTGTGCTTCTTATAGTGTATATAATATATTCCTGCAAGTTTTATAAAGATTTCAGAAGTTTGACCTGATTTAATTTTTGGCTTCCTTGTTTTTCTTTCTATAGAACTAGTACGCCTGCCAATTTTATATCACTTTGTGTGCCAATTCATCATTAGAATTTGTTCATGTTTCCCTTATAATGAAAAGATTTGAAACATTAACATGATTTTGGCCTGTTCGGGTTTTCACTATTTGCAGCATTGTATGTCACTTAACACGAAAAGATTAAAAGTTCAATAACAACATAATAATTAGATGCTCTTTTTTCACAAGTTATAATTGTGCAAGAGGAATAATTGTTATGTATATTGCAAGAAGTTATGCTATTGAGATAAAATTGGGTTTAAAAGATTGTATGGCAAAAAGAGTTTTTCTCTTTTCTATCCTAACAAGTTTCATACAGCTTAGACTCCATATAAAGTAAACAAGGATAAAGCTTGTAACAAGTCGCTTATAAACGATTCAAGAAAGACGTTTATTAATTATGATTCATGCTACAATTGTGGAGTATATATCAAAGCAGGACTTTGACAAAATAGTTCTTCCTCTGAAACATATAGAGAGAGGCAACACTAGACGGTATTTTGTGTGTCAGCTAGACAACGTACTATACAACCCAACCCAGCTTTCTCGGTCAGCTTTTCATGAATTCTTAGGCATTGATCACAAGTGGGACGATCTCCGGTAGACAAGCCTCTGTATAGGTACCTGTGAATGACCCAACATACCAATGTGATTTGGCTATACAACTAGTCTGATACTCGTGTAAAATTCTGTTTGTTTGGGTTGCAAATGTGTTATGTTTCAATGCAGTAAGGCAGCTAGGCAAATACCAAATAGGCAGCATTCGAAGTTAAGAACTAATCATGCCACTTATTGAACTAGGCTGTGTTTTATTTCTGTTAACACAACATTTCAATTGTCTTACAATAAGCACAACTTCCTACCCTATATAATTCTATATTGTAACACAAATCGTTCAAAGAAATACTGTCTTCAGATTCCAGAATATGATTATTCAGCAAATTAGAGAACTCAAGATGATGCTAATTCAAGGAAAGCAAACTCAAGAAGAATCCTACTAAAAAATTATGACAAAATCTCCGACCTCCCGTCCCTCCCTGCACTTATTTGATACTCGGAAACTTATCTAGTGAAGAGCCTAGGTCTCATTTATAGTTGATTGCTTCCCTTCTCATTCCTTCCTTTTTCTTATTTGCACTTTATGCACCCTGCACAATAGCATCTGCATCTTCCCTCGAGGAAGAAACTACTAAGCAGTAAAGCATCCTAAATTTCATCATTCTCGTAAATCTAACATGTATAAACCCTCTATCAACTAAACACATATATTTCTGCTGTTCTATTTGCTCCCTCATATTCAGGTTACCATTAGTGTCATACCACAATATCAAAGCCCTAGACATTTCATGGATAAAATACTATACCAAAAAAAAAAAAAAAAAGGAATGAGGAGCTTACTTCATTAGAATATCATAGTACTCAGGATCTAGAGAAGAGAACAAGCTGTCCAAATCCTTTATAGCCATAATTGCCCTGTGCACTACAATCCAATTCGCAGACTACAAACACACCCAGCAAAATAATGAATCAAAATAAATAATGATAAATAAACTCAATCAATATTGTTTTGTGGAATCCTAGACGAGGTGAGAAAATATTGAACCTTGCATCTTTCATCTTTGGTCTTGGGAGGCGACCCTTCAAGAGCTGTTTTCAGAGCTTCCACTGGTTTATACCTAACAAAAACACAACGTAAGATCAGACCTATTTCCCACGAGTATGCAGAGATCAAAATGGAAATTTCACAAGGATAGCGGAATGAATACGCAACTGTTTGAGGAGGCTCTCGATCTTCCGGGACTTATGCTCAATCCTTGTAATTATAGCTTCTGCATTATCTGCTTCAACGAATTTCGCCATTCACCCAACTCCAACTCAACCTTTCAGATCTGGATATTGATTCAGCTTAAATCGCACTTACGCTTGTTCATAACAATGATATTCCTGACAACAAATTCTATAGAATTAAAAGGAAGAAGAAAGGGATAAAAGTAAGTCACCTAAATGGTCCAAATTACCAAATCTCAAAAAAAAAAGAGTAACTAACCGAAATCATTCATCGAAATGTAGGGAATTTTTAAATAGTTAATGTAATTATTATTAATTCCACCAAATGTCTATCGTCTTTGGTGGTAATTTCAAATTTAATTTATTTTTAGTAAGAGTATTTTTGTATTTTCATATTTTCTTTTGTTACGGAGTATTTTTTAGATTTCAGTCAATTTAATCGGTTTATAACTTTAGGTAACCTCCAATTTTTAGTAACTATATTTTTCAACTAATTTTTAATAAAGTCATAAACTAATTAAACTGGTTAAAACCGGAAAAATAACAAAAGAAAAATATGAATAAACAAAAATGTCCTTACTAAAAAAAATTTAAAAAAAAACATAAAAAGGACTAAAAGTGTCTAAAAAATAATAATTTGGCATGTTAAATGGCAAAAACGATAGTCTGAAACTAAGTTTGGAATTACCACCAAAGACAATAAACATCGGGTGAAATTAACTCTATTATTTGATTTATTGAATATTCATGAATGGACTAAATGGAAATTAATTAGACAAAAATATAGATCATTGTTAAATATAATTAATTTTATTTTTGTCACAGATTTATAAGTGACACTTCACTTTTAATTTTTTTAGTCATAATATTATTGTAACATGATCATTTTTGGTCCTTCGTCAAAAAAATCTTGTTGAAATATCGTTAAATACAAATGCATTAAATATAAAGACGTTTTGATCATTTTTTGAAAAATCCGTATCCGAAATGACTTTGTATTTAACCGCATTAAAACTGTTTTGTTGATAAATGACAAAAAATGGTTATGTTATAATAATACTAAGATTAAATGTGAATGTTATAATTAAAAAGAGATAAAAATAGATTACTGTTGTAAAATCTAATTATGGACATTATTCTATCATTAATGAGATGATTGGTAACGGCTTTATATTTATGGTATGGTATTGTAATAGCTGTTATATATATTGATATAGTGATGTACATAGTTGATGAATGAATAAGAAATGAGTTAATACCCAAAATCGTCCTTGACTATAGTGGTTTTTCTCAATTTCGTCCTAAACGACTTTGGTGACCTAATATCGTCTCAGACTTTTGTGTTTGGCTCAATTTAGTCCCAGACTTTTGTGTTTTTGCTCAATTTAGTCCCTCATTTGTTATTCTGTCTATTTGGTGTTAAATAAATAGACAATTCAGTAATTTTGATATTGGTATCTCTTTACTTATAGACATGTGAACTGCGAAATCCTTTTTTTTTTAACGAATTACTCCCAAAATTACTCCTAAAACTGCGAATATAAAATTTGATTTGCAGGTCCGGGAGTAATTCTGGGTGTAATTTGTACAAGAAAGAGGAATTTCGCACTTTACAAGTTGAAAGTAAAGAGAGATCAATATTGACATTACTGAATTGTCCCTTTATTTAACACCAATTTGACGGAATAACAAATTGAGGACTAAATTGAGCGAAACACAAAAGTCTGGGACGATATTAGGTCACTAAAGTCGTTTAGGACGAAATTGAGAAAATCACTATAGTCGAGGACGATTTTGGGTATTAACTCAATAAGAAATCTCTTTCCTCTGTTCTTTATATTCTTCTTCCTGTTTTTACTGTTCTTCGCGAGCTAAAGGCCTGCAAACAAATCTGCATTACAACAATTACCACTTATAAATTTAGGATGAAAAATGAAATTAACTCTTGTTAAATATATTTAATATTCTACATTTTTATTCTTGTAATTAAAATTAATATATATGGAGTAGTTAAATACATACCATTACACATGAACAATTTACATTTTGTGCTTAAAAATTAAAATAATAATTTAATAAACTAATTTGTTAACTACGCGCGTACTGTGGTGATGCTATTTGTCTGATTCGTTGCGGCTTCGTCTCCTACTCGTCACAGGGCGGCGTTGTCCACAGAAATTAGGAGTTGAAAGCTTTAGATTTGAGAAATTAGGAGTTGAAGGCTTTAGATTTGAGAAATTAGAAGTACGTGATCAATTGAAGGCTTCAAGAAGTTGAAGCTGTGACTCTCTACTGTGGCTGCGGACCTAATGATTCATAAAGAAACTGTGAAACTGATAGTGTGAAAATGAGAGCAGATAGTGTGAAAATGAGAGCAATTTTGGCAAATTATGCTTTAGTAATTTAGGGGTTAGTCTGACTGGGTAACCCTTAATTCAGCTCTCCCAAACATACTTTATATGTAATGTGAAGCGGGTCGGACAAACATTGAATTTGAGAAAATTCTAACTTAACTCGTCTAAAATTCGGATTTAATGAGTTCATTCAGTGAGGGTTGAATCGATTTTGACAATTGTACTTATCAAAGTTATCATTTTAATTTATTCCAATATCTCAAAAGACTTCATAAATTTTCAATACCAAACACCTAAAAAGTACATATTAATTATTTTTTAAAAATTCTTTTTATATTTTTTTAAAAAATGTAAGCGTTTGTTGAAAGCAAACCATGAAATACTTATCTATGAATACTCATATATAAGTAGATGATGAATCCCAAAAATATCATAAATAGATCATGAAAGACAAGTAATAAGTTGGCAAAAGGTGTGTTCTAACAAATTGAAAATAAAAATGACATGAAAATGAAAATGGCATGCTTGATCTACTCATTAATTATACCTTACTCTTTTAATGTAAACAATTTTTTTTAAAAAATTAAAGGATATTCAATTTACAAAGGAATATCATGGCTATTAAGTTTTCATAAATAATGATATTGGATCAATTTCATATACAACATGGTAATATAATCAAACTTGCTAAGAACAACGCTATATATAGATCAAACTAAAGATTTAAATGCGTCAAGTTACTCGAGCTCAATTCAATAAATATTCAAATTTGGTTTGATTAATACCGACCTGAGCTCGAGCTCA